GTCTCGAACCTCTGACCTGATGAGTGATCCACCCACCTCGGCTTCCCAAAGTGCTGGGATTACAGGTGTGAGCCACCGCGCCGGCCCCTTTTGTATTTTTAGTATAGGTGGAGTTTCACCATGTTGGCCAGGCTGGTCTTGAACTCCTGACCTCAGGTGATCCTCTCACCTTGGCCTTCCGAAGTGCTGGGATTACAGGTGTGAGCCACCATGCCTGGCCTGAGCAAGGTTTTTTTCCTTTTGTTTGCACTAGGGTATGGGAAAGTATGAATCAAACCTTCTTTGAGAAGTGTGGTGTGTGCCAGGTAGTTGCACTGAGAGCTGTGTCTGTTCGTTCTACCCTCTGCCCTCAGGCCTGGTCAGCACAGAGTCAGAGAAAGATTTGTTATCAGCGAACTGGTAGAGGCCAGGGCAAACAGATTTTAAGAGGACTTTTTAAGCAAAATTTATCGAAACAAATGTATTTCTGGTCAGTTTTCAGAATTAAATGACATTTTAGTTGGGCATGGTGGTGCATGCTTGTAATCCCAGCTACTTGGGAAGCTGAGGCAGGTGAATCGCTTGAACCTAGGAGGTGGAAGTTGCAGTGAGCCAAGATCACGCCACGGCACTCCAGCCTGGGTGACAGAGTGAGACTCCATCTCAACAAAAAGAAAAAAAAATCACATTTGATTTAAGAAATCATTCGATATTGCCAGGCACAATGGCTCACGCCTTTAATCCCAGCACTTCGGGAAGCTGAGGCAGGTAGATCACTTGAGGCCAGGAATTTGAGACCAGCCTGGGCAACATGACGAAATCTTGTCTCTACTGAAAATACAAAAAATTAGTCGGGTGTGGTGGTGCACACCTGTAATCCCAGCTACTCAGGAGCCTGACGCAGGAGAATTACTTGAACCTGGGAGGTGGAGGTGCAGTGAGCTAAGATGGCGCCACTGCACTCCAGCCTGAGCGACAGGGAGAAACTGTGTCTCAAAAAATAAAAGCATTCTATGTGAAATCTAGACATGCTTTTTTTTTTTTTTTGAGACAGAATCTCACTCTGTCCTCAAGGGGCTCGCAATCTAGCCCAGGGAAGGATTCTCTTACTAATTATGACTTTTGGGGTGGGATAGCAACTCACTAGACCCAGCCTCAGGGAGGGAGATTTCAAATGGCTTATGGACCCCAGGGCAAGGAAGCAGCCAGTTCGTGGGCACTGCGATCAGAATTGGGCATGTGGGACCGACTCCCATCCTGAGCATTGCTGCGCTTTGCTCTGGGGCAGGAGGCGAGCTCTGGGGAGGGCTGCTGGGGTCAAGCAGCTGCTGGCAGGTAACTTGAGGGCAGTGAGTGCTTGGAAGCTCTTTTGCTGGTATGTTTCTTCATTGTGCCAGACTCTCCTACACACTCTAGTACATTCAGCATCCTTGGGCTTGGCCACTGAATGTGGGCGGCCCTCCCGTCATTGTGACATCAAAAATGCTCCTGCACATTTTCAAACATGCTGGTATTCCTTGGCCCATGGCCGCAGCTGAATAAACTGGGATTTGGGTGAGAGAAGGGAGTTAAGTAACCAACCAGGATGGCTGAAGCCATGTGGTGCAGAGAGGAGAATTTCCTTGAAGAAGAGTGCAGTGTGAGCCTCTGGTTGTGTCCCCTGCTCATACAGATTGGACTTATGACCACTCATCCCTTGGCACCCATCTTCTTGCATTCTTCATGAGCATTTCCTGATAGGAATTGCATGCGGATCTGTCTCTCAGTGACCGGCAGATCATAGGCATCAGTCAGTACCTGTTCAATGAATGAAAGGATGGTTTGCACACTTGCATATTTGACATGGCACCGGCTCAGTCAGTGTCTTTTGTCTCACTTGTTTTGGCCTCTGTTTGTAATCGATTTTCACTCCTTGTGTTTTATTTGGATCATAATAGAGTTTTTTTTTGTTTGTTTGTTTTTTTGATGGAGTCTCGCTCTGTTGCTCGGGCTGGAGTGCAGTGGCACGATCTCGGCTCACTGCAAGCTCTGCCTGCTGGGTTCACGCCATTCTCCTGCCTCAGCCTCCCGAGTGGCTAGGACTACAGGCACCTGCCACCATGCCTGGCTGATTTTTTGTAATTTTAGTGGAGACGGGGTTTCACCGTGTTAGCCAGGGTGGTCTCGATCTCCCGACCTAGTGATCTGCCTGCCTCGGCCTCCCAAAGTGCTGGGATTATAGGCGTGAGCCACCACACCCGGCCCATAATATAGAGTTTTATCTTTAAAATCATCCTTTGGGGTACAGATTGCCGCCCCACCACATCGCATGTGTTCCTCCTGGCCTGCATGGTGTCAGAACAAGATGGTGAAATGGCAAACCTTGCTTCCGCAGCTACTACCAAGTGCCTTTTACCAGACAGTAGTAAAATGACGAATTGTAGTTGTTGCCGTTATGTCATTGAGGGCATGTTAAACATATGCCTTAATTATTGCTTTAGCTTTGTTTTCCAGTGAGAAGTGATGGTCACTTACACAAGTTTTCTTTTCTTTTCTTTTTTTTTTTTTTTGAGACGGAGTCTTGCCCTGTTGCCCAAGCTGGAGTACAATGACACAATCTCGGCTCCCTGCAACCTCTGTCTCCTGGTTTCAAGTGATTCTCCTGCCTCAGCCTCCTGAGTAGCTGGGATTACAGGCGTGTACCACCATGCCCAGCTAATTTTTGTATTTTTAGTAGAAACGGGGTTTCACCATGTTGGTCAGTCTTGTCTTGAACTCCTGACCTCGTGATCTACCCGCCTTGGCCTCCCAGAGTGTTGGGATTACAGGCGTGAGCCACCGTGCCCGGCCTACAAGTTTTGTTTTTTAAGAGATGGGTTCTTGCTCTGTTGCTCTGGCTGGAGTGCAGTGGCCTGATCTTAGCTCACTGCAGCCTCAAGCTCCTGGGCTCAAGTGATCCTCCTGCCTTAGCCTCCTAAGTAGCTGGGACTACAGGTGCATGCCAGCATGTCCTGCTAATTATTTTTATTTATTTGAGATGTAGTCTCCCTCCATCACCCAGGCTGGAGTGCAGTGGGGGCAGTCTCAGCTCACTGCAACTTCTGTCTCCTGGCTTCAAGCGATTCTCATGTCTCAGCCTCCTGAGTAGCTGGGATTATAAGCATGCACCACCATGCCCGGCTAATTTTTGTAATTTTAGTGAAGATGGGGTTTCACCATGTTGGCCAGGCTAGACTCAAACTCCAAACCTCAGGTAATCTGCCCACCTCAGCCTCCCAAAGTGTTGGGATTATAGGTGTGAGCCACCACGCCTGGCCTATTTTAATTTCTTTTTTTTTTATTTTTATTTTTATTTTTATTTTTATTTTTTTTTGAGACGGAGTCTCGCGCTGTGTCACCCAGGCTGGAGTGCAGTGGCGCGATCTCGGCTCACTGCAAGCTCCGCCTCCCAGGTTCACGCCATTCTCCTGCCTCAGCCTCCAAGTAGCTGGGACTACAGGCGCCCGCCACCACGCCCGGCTAGTTTTTTGTATTTTTAGTAGAGACGGGGTTTCACCATGTTAGCCAGGATGGTCTCGATCTCCTGACCTCGTGATCCGCCCGCCTCGGCCTCCCAAAGTGCTGGGATTACAGGCTTGAGCCACCGCGCCCGGCCTTTTAATTTCTTTAGACACAGTGTCTTGCTGTGTTGACCAAGCTGGTCTCAAACTCCTGGCCTCAAGCAGTCTTCCCACCTCAGCCTTCCTGAGTAACTGGGGTTACAGCCATGAGCCACTGAGCCCATCAAGTGTTTTTGGTTTTTGGTAAGGAAGCTTAGAACCTATTGCCACGGTTGGGTATGGAATAAAAAACAGTGAAGCTCTTAGTCCTCAGTGCCTGCTGGCACACAGGCCCTTGGTGGGCACTTAGTATTTGTTTTTGTTGTGTTTTTTTTTAAGATGGGGTCTCGCTTTGTCACCCAAGCTGGAGTGCAGTGGTGCGGTCTTGACTCACTGCAGCCCAGGTTCAAGCAATTCTCCTGCTTCATCCTCCTGAGTAGCTGGGATTACAGATATGTGCCACCACGCCTGGCTAATTTTTGTATTTTCAGTAGAAACGGAGTTTCGCCATGCTGGCCAGGCAGGTCTCGAACTCCCGACCTTAAGTGATCTGCCCACCTCAGCCTCCCGAAGTGCTGGGATTACAGGCATGAGCCACCACGCCCAGCCAGACATGTAGTATTTTGAGTGAGTGAGTGAGTGAGTGAGTGAGTGAGTGAGTGAACTGATGAGGAGAGCACTAGTAGACTCATGGACACCTGTAGAACATTAGAAAGTAGCAGAGGAAGGTCTTTTCAGGGTTGTCCCTTGAAAGGGGCAAGTACAGATGGCATAGCCCCCATGTGGTCTCTCCCTTGCCAGCCCTGGGGAGTTCTTGCTTTCTGTTTTCCATGCATGTACCTTAGAGAGCCCTTTCGTTGCCTAAGCAGATGTTTTCTCTCTGGGTACTAGTTGTTTATTTCGAAAAGTACATATACCTGATTATTTCTGAAGGCTAATACTCTGGTTGCCCTCCTTTGATTTGGTTTTGCTTGTCCTTGGGACTAACAACCATGGCATAAGTGGGTTGTGTACCTCCCCTATTCTGCTAGTCTTATTTTCAGTGTTATACATGGATGTGCTACAAGTACTGAGCATTTATTTTTCCATCTTGAGCTGTCCTTGACTTGGAGAGGGCTCTGTTGAAGTTTACATGTCAGTGTGGTTGGTGTGCAGTAGGCTCCAGCCAACTCAGACAGAGTGAGAGGAATTAACAGCAGGTAGGGATTGGGGGGTACTCCACAGATCGCCTCGGGGTGTCTACAAAATGCCCTGTAAATGTGAATGAACAGCCTGTGAGTGGTGAGAGCAGTTTTCTAAGGACAGTCCAAAGCTGTCTTCAGATCTTTAAGGAGATCCATGATTCCTAAAGGATTCACTTTGCTGGATCAGAGGTTCTGCTGGAGTGACACTCTTTTTTTTTTCCTCTCTCTCTCTTTTTTTCCTTCTCTATTTCAAAGGCAGATCGGGAGCGGTGCCGAGAAAAATTTCCTTACTAGATGACATTTCATCGCAATGTCCGATCGTTTGGGGCAAATTACCAAGGGCAAGGATGGGAAAAGCAAGTACTCGACTCTCAGCCTGTTTGATAAGTATAAAGGAAAATCAGTAGACGCGATTAGATCCTCAGGTAAGGCCCGAGGTTGAAGGCCAGTTCCTCAAACTTTCTCCTAGTGACAAATCCCAGAAACCGAGAGTCCCTCACCTGGGTAGACAGATGTGGTCCGTGCACACCAGGCTTGTGGGCATGCATGTAGAATCACTCTCTGCTTCGTACTTGAGGTGTGATTTCAGAGCCTTGAGCATCCTGACTTCCTGTAGTGGAATTTTCTCCATTTATTACCTTATTGAAGCTGGGGAGATTTGTTGTTGTTGTTGTTGTTTTTGAGACAGAGTCTCACTCTGTCACCCAGGCTGGAGTGCAGTGGCATGATCTCAACTCATTGCAACCTCCACCTCCCGGACTCAAGCAAGTCTCTTGCCTCAGCCTCTCGAGTAGCTGGGATTACAGGCGTGAGCCACCACGCCCAGCTAATTTTTGTATTTTTAGTAGAGACAGGGTTTCCCCATGTTAGCGAGGCTGGTCTCAAACTTGTGACCTCAGGCGATCCACCCGCCTCGGCCTCCCAAAGTGTGGGGATTACAGGTGTGAGCCACTGCGCCTGGCCAAAGCTGTGGATATTTTTATCCTGATGGATAGAATGGGACTTAATAGGCACTAGTGTTACCCTTTTGTTTTTTTTTTTTTTGAGACAGAGTTTCACTCTTGTTGCCCAGGCTGGAGTGCAGTGGTATGATCTCAGCTCAGTACAACCTCCACCTCCTGGGTTCAAGTGATTCTCCTGCCTCAGCCTCCCAAGTAGCTAGGATTACAGGCATGAGCCACCACGTCCAGCTAATTTTGTATTTTTAATAGAGTTGGGGTTTCTCCATGTTGGTCAGGCTGGTCTCGAACTCCCTGCCTCAGGTGATCCGCCCACTTCGGCCTCCCAAAGTGCTGGGATTACAGGCATGTGCCACCACGCCTAGCTAATTTTTGTATTTTTAGTAGAGAGGGTTTTGTCACATTGCCCAGGCTGGTCTCGAACTCCTGGGCTCAAGCGATCTACCCACCTCAGCCTCCCAAAGTGCTGGGATTATACGCGTGAGCCGCCACGCCTGGTGTGTTAATCAGCCTTTTTAGCTTTCATGGTTCCTGATAATTCTGGAACTTGTTGGAAAGGTTCATGTTGATCCTGTTCACACCCCGTGAAGAATTCATGAATGTCGAAGGGTTCCTGTTCAGTCTTGGTTTGGGTCTGGGTAGAGGCTGTCCCTTTAGTCCTGTAATGAGACCAGAGCTGTCTCAACTTGCAGAGAAGTGGTTCCTCTGTGAGCTGGAGGTTCCTGGGCCTGGCTTCTCACCCATGTCGTAAAGTCCCCAAGCCTTGTCCTGCCCACTAGTGAAATGGAAGCCTTTGTACAGGTTTCAGCAGCTCCTTTGTCCCTGTAGTCTTCAGTGCACAGCTTGTAAAGTGACTAAAGTGACACCAAACACTTGTTTGTTCCACTGCTGGTCTGCCCTTTGTTTTTTGTTTGGTTAGCTTTGTCATGATCACTTAGAGTTTGAAAGAACAGCTAAATGCATCCGGCCTCTTTCCTTCTGTGACCTTTTTGCGCGGTGTCTGTTCCGTGCCCCTCTCCCTGCAGTTATTCCTAGACATGGCTTACAGAGTCTTGGGAAAGTTGCCGCAGCCCGGCGCATGCCACCGCCTGCAAACCTGCCGAGCTTGAAGTCTGAAAACAAAGGAAACGACCCCAACATCGTGATAGTACCCAAGGACGGGACGGGATGGGCAAACAAGCAGGATCAGCAAGACCCAAAGAGGTAAACGGAGGAGGTGGGTGGTGAGTGGGAGCTGGCACTCCAGGGGTGGTCCAGTACCCTTCCCTTTGGCAGACTAATCCTAGCCCTTTGACCACTGCAGCACTAGTCTTTGCCGTGGCAGAGCTGGAAAACTGGGAGATGCAATTGAAGCCGCTTCCTCTCGGGCCCTGGTGCTTCGTGTGTTTCTTGTTCCCTGCCTTCATTTTTTCTGGGTTTTAGAGCCGATGGAGCAGCACATCTGTGGACAACCTTGTCCCCAGTGACCAGTTTCCCCCTGTGCCTTATTAGGAAAGGCCTCATCACCCCAGAGGAGCTTATGTAATGACTCAGAGCCAATTCCTGTAAGAAACACTGTGGACAGAGCTGGGGCTTGAGGACTTCATTCCTGGTGGTGGGTGTCCCTGTGAGCTGAACTCGGCAGAGAATCATGCAGCCTCCCTAATCGTGGGCCCAGCAGCTTCCCAGACAGAGGAGACTTTCGCCGTTGCTCTAAACAGACCAGTCATCAGAGCCAGCACAGGACTTCCAGAAGCCCTAGAGGGCCGAGGGCGGCATGGTGCTGTCATCAGAGAAACAGCCCCTGTGTGGTGGGCTGAAAACACAGGGCCTGGCTGCCTGGGGCCCACTTGGATGGCTGTACCTTTGTCTCCTACTGCAAGTCCTCTCTGGGTGTTCAGCCAGTGCTAAGACAATTCAGGGAAGGGGATGTGTTCAGGGAGGGACAGGGCCTTGTTGAGGCTGGCAGGCAGAAACCTGCTGCTGGGGTTTACCTGTTAAGGAATGTGAACAAAGCTGTCTGGCGGCAGCGCCCTCCTGGCCTGCATCTCTGGTGGCCTCCGTGCTGACGTGGGAAACCAGACGGCAAAAGGGACCCAGATCTCAGGCTGCCGACCCCCGCATCCTTTTCTTTCAAGTCTATGCTGGAAATGACCATGGCAGCTTTTATGAAATTGTTGCCTGTAGTTACTTCAGACAAGATGTAGAGAGTGAGCTAGTTATTCAGCTAGATGATTATAAAGTAGTAATCACAATAGGGCCTTAGAAGTTATTTTTAAAATGTTGCTGACAGTTTGCTTAGGGATCATATTGATGGGCGGTATAGCATGACTTTTGAAATCTACCAGCCCTACGTGGTTTCCAGCTAGACCACTTATTAGCTTGATGGAACCTGGCGAATTGTTTGACTTCTGAGCCTCAGTGTCCCCCCTTGAAGTAGGAATGATACCTGGCTCTGCTGATGGTTACAAGGTATCCATGAGGCATTGATGGGCTAGCACAGATCAAGTGCTTAGCCCAAACCTGGCACAGAGGAGGGGCAGATATTGACTGCTGTCATCATTCCATTCAAATGGTACTCATTCCATTCACACCATGAGCTCTGAAACAAAATGAATATTGCACTTTTTTTTTTTTTTTTTTTGGGATGGGGTCTCCCCCGGTCCCCTAAGGCTAGGGTGCACTGGTGAGAACTCGGCTTGCTGCAACCTCCACCTTCCGGGTTCAGCCATTCTCCTGCCTCAGCCTCCCGAGTAGCTGGGACTACAGGCGCCTGCCACCTCGCCCGGCTAGTTTTTTGTATTTTTTAATAGAGACGGGGTTTCACCGTGTTAGCCAGGATGGTCTCGATCTCCTGACCTCGTGATCCGCCCGTCTCGGCCTCCCAAAGTGCTGGGATTACAGGCTTGAGCCACCGCGCCTGGCCGAATATTGCACATTTTAATGGAAGGACTGAAATGCCTCTGCATCACCAAAAGTTTTGGAGAGGACAAAGCATTACTCCCTCCTGTTATCCAGCCTTTACTCTGCCTTCGCGGCTCCAGTGAGGGCTAGTTGTGCTGGAGCACGTCCGCCAGGGAAGAGGTGAGGACGGAGTGTTGGTGAAGACACAGATCCTGGTGTGGTTCTCTGCTGCCCCGGGCCACATCCTCCCACCAAGGTATCAGGTGGCAAGTGGGCCCACAGCGTGGGGACTCAGTCCTTAGTTTTGGAGAACACAGAGGTGCGACTTCCTGGAAGCTTCTCTTCTAGGTAGAAGGAGATGTAAGAACCCAGTCAGTACCTTCTGTTTGTAATAATCACGAATGGTGAGTTGCCTGGGTTAGGTGAATCTTGGAAGGTGGTGTCTGTAAAGAGTTTGGCTTCCATTTACAGATGAGCCACTTGTATTGGAGGAGTTCCTACCAAGGGGGTGGCTGCCCTCCTTGAATCTTGTTGAGTGGAAAGTTGCCTACAGTGACTGGAGGGCTGAGTTAGAGCAGAAACCTTCATTCGGCCATTTTTTGTTGATTTCATCACTTCACCTGTGGAGTGTAAATTCACTGACACAGCCTTTTTTGGAGGGCAGCCTGGCAATCGTTTAAACTTCAAAACATCTTTTGATCCAGCATTTCCATTTCTAAGGTCATATGCCATGGAATTACTTACAGGAAAAGGGTGCAAAGATATATATTTTAAAAATTCTTGACTGGGTGCGGTGGCTCACACCTGTAATCCCAGCACTTTGGGAGGCCGAGGAGGGCAGATCACCTGAGGCCAGGAGTTCGAGACCAGCCTGACCAACATGGCGAAACCCCATCTCTACTAAAAATACAAAAATTAGCCGGGCGTGGTGGTGCATGCCTGTAATCCCAGCTACTTGGGAGGATGAGGCAGGAGAATCGCTTGAACCCGGGAGGCAGAGGTTGCTGTGAGCAGAGATCGTGCCATTGCACTTTAGCCTAAGTGACAGAGCAAGACTCCGTCTCGAAAAAACGAAAAAAAAAATTTTTATTGTAGGCCAGGTGCGGTGGCTTACACCTGTAATCCCAGCACTTTGGGAGGCCGAACTGTGCAGATCACATGAGGTCAGGAGTTCAAGACTGGCCTGGCCAACATGGCGAAACCCCATCTCTACTAAAAATACAAAAATTAGCCAGGCATGGTGGTGCATAACTGTAATCCCAGCTACTCGGGAGGCTGACGCAGGAGAATCGCTTGAACCTGGGAGACGGAGGTTGCAGTGTGCTGAGATCATGCCACTGTACTCCAGCCTGGGCGACAGAATGAGACTGTGTCTAAAAAAAAAAAAAAAATTCTTACTGCAGTTGTATCTGTAAGAGGGGAAAACACCCGTATGAACGATTGGTTAAATTATGACCTGTCTAGTTGTGTTATGTGGTCATTAAAAGCAAAAGGAAGATCCATTTCTATGGTGATGAAAAGATGTTCAGATGCATGAAGTAGAAAAAGTCATAGAGCTTTATGTATGGGGTCACTCCACTTCTGTTGGAAAAATACTATATTCCTGCAGTGTAAAACTCTGCTGGTTAAAAACAAACAAAACTCTATTGACAGGTATAGAGAAGTCTGCTTGGAGTTTCTCTCTGGATGATGAGGTCATGATGTTCTGTGTTACCTACTTTTATTTATAAGTTTATTTTTACTCTGAGCATGTATTTATAAATGCAGAGAGGGTTAAAAAGTCAACTCTCTGAGTAGGTATGGGCTCTGGGTCTGGGATAAGGGGCACAAGCCTTTCATTCCAGTGATTCAGTTTCCCTGTTGGCAAATCCTTCACTTGCATTGTTTACAGTGAGCTTTTAGTTTTTGCAGACAGAAGGCTCTACAAGAAGGCAGAAAAGTTTCATTTTTAAAAAAAGAAAGACCAGGCAAGGTGGCTCACACCTGTAGTCCCAGCTACTTGGAAGGCTGAGGTGAGAGGATTGCTTGAGGCTGGGAAGCGGAGGTTGCATTGAGCCAAGTTTACCCCACTACGCTCCAGCCTGGGTGATATAGTGAGACCCCCTGCCTCGAAAAAAAAGAAAAAGAGGCAGAGGACTGTCTTGTGCTAATTTTAAATGCCAGTGACTAGAACTAAAGCATGGTTTGTTTTCTCATTAGTTTTTGCCAGCATAAAAATCTGCTGGGGAAAGTCGTATTTTTGTTGGCCAGAAGAGGTCTGCTTCCTGTGAGCAGCTGAACAGCTGTGGCTCCTGAGAATGCAGAGACCTGGCCAGCGCACTCTGTGCGGTGCCTGACCCCACTGCCCTGCCTTTGTCTAGTTCCAGTGCGACGGCCTCTCAGCCGCCGGAGTCGCTGCCGCAGCCGGGTTCGCAGAAATCTGTCTCCAATTTGCAGAAACCGACACAGTCAATCAGTCAGGAGGTAGGTGCTGGGACTCCATCCCAACTGTTTCCTGGGCATGGTAGTCCCTCAATGTCCTTGTTGCTGGGGGCTGGGAGGAGTTGCTACTGAGAAGTGTGGTTGTGCATGGCCTGTCTATTCCAGAGGCACACCCAGTGAGTGACTTTAGAAAACCAGCATGGGAAACTGTCGTGGTCACTGGTGAAGAAATTTAATCTGCAACTTCTGGAAAAAGACCTCAGATATGGTGCCTGTTGACTTACCTTGAGGCATAGTCACTCAGGCCGGACTGCAGACTAGTTCAGGGTGCAGCTCCATGGAAGCGTCACGTGATGTCCATGGAAGCTTGGGTCACAAGAAGACAAAAAGTGGCAGGTCACAGAAAGGTTCACTGGCCGGGTGAGTTCGAAAAACAAAATGAAGCGAGCTCCTTTACTGCAGTACTTTTCAGTGCCTTTCATGTGCTAATACCTACTGTGGCTCTCTAAGAAGAGGATATAATGGGCAGCAGTCCCTAAATTTATTTGTCCCAGGAAACATTTCTTCACCGAATGTCTCTAGGGACTAATGTCTCTTAGAATACGCTTTGGGAAATACGAAGCTACAATCCTTTAATTGTTGATACATTTTAAATGTTTCTCTAAGCAGAAAGTAACGTTTTCACCAAGCAAGAGCTCATAACACACTCAGTCCATCAGAGTCTCGCTACGGGTTTCTAGAGATTGGCAGGAGGATATACTTAGCCGGAGGTAGAAATCTAGATGAGAAGTCTGAATTTTTTAGAAGATGAAAAGAAATGTAGACATAGATACCTTGTATTCACCAGCTCTCTTGGCAGCGGGAATGAACATACTTTGATTTTGCTTTGCTGCATGGGCAATATGAGGTCTCACATGTCATCCCCTCTCTGCTGTAACCATACTCGGGAAAGTCTGTGGCTTTGCCAGGGCACCCTCTCCCCACCTAACACTGAACTGTGCTTTTAAAATTAAAGACAAAGAAGAAAAGAGGGGTCTGTGATCGTGCAAGACGCCCTTTTCATTGGCGTAAATCTGCTGGGACCTTAGGCTAGTCAGAGTATTTAGAGTTGAGTTCCTTTCTGTTTCCCAGAATTTGAAAGAGAAGGAGTGAGCTGATAGAGCTCAGAGATCAGATTTGCCTCTGAAACCTGTTGAAGATGTATGTGCCCAGACCCCCACCACTGAGGGGACTGTGGGTGAGGTCCTGGGCATCTGTTTGAATTGCTGAAGGGGCAGCTCTATGCCAAGGAAGGGGAACCCATCCTGGCCCTGGCGCAGGGGTCACCGTATCCGGCGCTCAGTGCTGCTTTGCTGCTACCTGGTGTCTCTCACGTATGAGGCACAGGTAAGAAGAGGCACCCGGTGTTGGGCGAGTTTTAGAACATCTCCACGGAGGGATCACAGCAGCTCTGCTCTTGGGATGAAGTTTGCCAGCAGTCTCAGTAACACCTTCTTGGTCCTGTGTGTGCTCTTCCTAGTTTAATGCCAGGGGAGTCATCCCTGTGACTGCAGAGGGGAGGGGAGTGGAGGGATGGGATTGCATTAGCATATTAAAGGCCTTCAGTGGAGACCTTATGTGGAGGGGAGCCCCTGTGCCTCCTGTTTGCTGCTGGATCTGAAGGCCTCTAGCCCACCTGTGGGATGTGTCTGGCCCCAGCTGCACTGCCTCCATTGTGCCACTGACCCCACCCTTCTGTAGTCCGTGGCAGGGAAACTGTATAGGCACCTCAGGCCACCAGTGTAAAGCATTCAGGGCACCTCTATGATGAGTAAATGGATTGCTGTACCCGGTCAGCTCTGCATCACAGGCAAGAGAGACAGTTGTTTGCCTTGTGAGTGGATGGTGCTGGCTGAGGTGGGTGGGAGAGGGTAGTGATTTAATATAGCATTTCATCTAGTAAGTGGGGAAACTTCACAAAGCAGCAGCTTGTTTTGTGTATTTTTACCTTCAGTTAGAAGAAGGAGGCTGTGAGTTGAATGTTAGTTGAATGGAAAAGATGGGGTGAGCTTAACGGTTAGAGACTCGAAAGGGCACTGGACATAGGCAGGCTGGAGACTGGTCCTGGTTCTGCTGTTCTGCATCTGACTCAGTCACTCTTCTCTGAGCCTCAGTGTTGAATGTGACTAGAACCTCCCCAGGGTGTGGTGAGCATTTGGTCAGGCTGGGTGTGCCTCGCATAATGCTCACCCTGGCGACTTTTCAGCAGAGGTGACCTGGCATGGTTCTCAGGAGGGGAGCTGTGCCTTGTAGAGTCACAGTCACTACAGAAGGTGCTGCAGCTGGCCCACCCAGCTCAAGATCTGGCATGTTGGCCTTCCCGTGTTCGTGTTCCTCGTTAGCAGCGGTGCAGTTTTAAAAACACATGCCGGAACTGGGCCTTACTTAGTCTTTGTCTCTGGAGCAAAATAAAGTAGCTCTATGTGGACATGGGAGGTTCCAGAGCACCGCATAGAGGGAGACAGGTTTGGGTCCTGGCTTTGCTGTGTCACTGTCTGTGTGACTTGAAGCTGATCACTCCCCAAATCCTGCTCCTTGTCTGTAGAGTGGGCCTGGCATTTTCTGGTCCCTGGGACTGCTATGTGGAGTGTGCATTGCAGGGGTCGTTCAGGGCTTCGCTGCTGCTCAGAAAGTGGTGGTGGATGGATCCTTATAGGGTTCAAATCTAAGGGGCTGGCCTCTCAGCAGCTTGTTGTAATGGGCTGTCACTGTACAGTGGAATAAGGAAGCTGGCCCTCTTCTGATTCTCTTCCTTCTTTCAGAATACAAATTCAGTGCCAGGTGGACCAAAGTCATGGGCACAGCTGAATGGAAAGCCAGTAGGACACGAAGGTGGTAAGTGCGCACGTGTGTGTGTGTGTGTTTGGGGATGGTGGGGAGGGGGAGGTAAATGTCTTTTCCAGAATGTCTGGTTGGGTCTAGGCACCCAGAAGCTTTGAGGACTTTCTTCCGCAAAGAGGTACCGTTCTGTGGAGCCCTTGCCTTGCAGGGCACTGACTCTGCAGAGGGGCCAGCTCTTTGGTTTCTTTGGATGAGTGCTGTTGCTGAGACAGGAGTGCTGACTGGGCCATGCTGCTGGTGGGCTCCTGTTTGCTCCGCGCTTGTGGCGTTGCCAACACCATCCGCTTCCTCTCTCCTGGGACCACAGGTGGGAGGTGTCACGTGGTGTGGCTTGGGTTGATGAAGAAGCTGGCCGTGGGGTTGGAGTGGCCCGCCTGGAGGATGTTCTATCCAAGCACTCCGAGGGTTACGTGGTGTTACCAGAAGTGCTGCGCCCAACACACAGGAAGCTCTCTGGAAGCGGAACCCACTGTGCTGCTTCCGTGGAGCAGCTCAGGGGAAAGATGAGGGCGATGGACTGAAGGAAACAGTGTTCAGAGTTTTAAAAAATAAATTCATGGGAATTACACAGTCACACGGCCTCCGAGGCAGGCCCAGGATAGTGGGCTAAAGCAATTTGGTGAGTTCTGTGCATCCAGGCTGCCCTCCAGCCCCCACAGTCCTTGGAGAATGTGGGTCAGCAGATGTTCTTGAGAAAACCAAAAGATCTGGATTTTCCACAGGAGCTCTTCTAATTTTTGATGATAGCTTGAATGTTTCTAGCATACTGTGCTTCAGACCAAACTAGGCAGCAGCTCTGAGTGGGAAGGTGAGTGGTCATGGTGTGGGCAGACGATTCAAAGGAATATACTGGGGAAAGCCCACAATTCACTGTCTCCTGTAAAGTAGCACTGACTGCCCTTTTTTACCCTTTGCCGCCATCCTGGGTATTGCCTTCTGCCTCCTGCGCTACCCCTGCCAGCCAAGGCTTCACCAGACTTGGTCTTTAGTAGCCTATATTAGAAAACCAGCTGCACATCCTTCATTCCTTGAACCTCACCCCCAGCCTGCCATGCCTAGGAGGTCCTGCCCCTTGTGGGTTGAAATCCCTGTGTTCAAAGGCTCTTCCCTCAGTCTCCAACGGGAAGTGACCCATCAGTCAATGTGCCAATTGGATTTCAATGCCCCAGCTTCTCCCAAGGGGCTGAGGGTACAGGTGGAGTGCCAGCAGGAGTGCGGTGGTGCGATTATAGCCATTGCAGCCTCGATCTCCCGGGCTCAAGCAATCCTCCCACCTCAGCTTCCTGAGTAGCTGGGACCACAGGTATGTACCACCACACCTGGCTGATTTTTTTTTTTTTTCCATTTTGAGTAAAGACAAGATCTCACTATGTCGCCCAGGCTGGTCTTGAACTCCTAGGCTCAAGCGATCCTCCCACTTCAGCCTCCCGAGTAGCTGGGGCTGGGACCACAGGCGCATGCACCACCACACCTGGCTTATTGATTGATTGATTGATTGATTGATTGAGATGAGATCTCACTATGTTGCTCAGGCTGGTCTCCAACTCCTGGGCTCAAGTGATCCTCCTACCTTGGCCTCCCAGAGTTTTGGGATTACAGACGTAAGCCACCGTGCCTGGCCTCAAAAGCGTCTTTGAAGATGCTTTATGAAGAACATTCACTGGACTTGTAACTGGTTCTTTGGCTTTCCATATCTTATATTTCTGTAAGGTAGAATTTTTTGTTTGTTTTGTTTTGTTTTTGTTTTTTTTTGGAGGCAGTCTTCGTCACGCAGGCTGGAGTGCAGTGGCATGATAGCTCACTGCAAACTCCGTAAGGTTAGAATTTTTAAAAGTAGATAGAATATATTAATTTTTATTTAAAAAGAACTACAAAAATGAAAAGAAAAACCCCTGTATAAATTGACCCAACTCCTATGGAAGCCAGTTTGGCACTGCCTGGCAAAATAATAACACATAATACCCTTTGACCTGGCAAGCGCACCCTGAGGAAATTACTTTACAAATTGTACTTGCCCATATGTGAAATGACCTGTGTACAAGACTATTCACTGCAACATTATAATAGCAAAAGATCGCAAACAGTCCCTTGAAATGCTTGTAAAATTACGGTAATGAAATGTGATTTGGCTATAAAGAAATAAAGCAGAAGTTTTCTATTGATTTGGCAAGATCTTCAGGTGAAGAAAAGTACAGAATGGTATGTATAGTATCTTACCATTTGTGTAAAAAATGGGGGTGAGGGCTGGATGTGGTGACTCACACCTGTAATCCCAGCACTTTGGGAGACTGAGGCAAAGGGATTGCTTGAGTCCAGTAGTTTGAGACCAGCCCGGGCAACATGGCAAAACCCTGTCTCTATAAGAAACACAAAAAATCAGCCGAGCGTGGTGGCAGACACCTGTAGTCCCAGCTACTTGGGAGGCCAAGGTGAGAGGATTGGTTGAGCCCAGGAGTTTAAGTCCAGCCTGAAAAGCATAGCAAGACCCTATCTCTACTCAAAATTTAAAAAAAGAAAGAAAACAATTGCAGGCAGAAACCTGCCAGCCCACAGAACTGACACACTGGGCAGGGTGGGGGCCAAGTGTAAAAGTCCGTTTTGGTTCCCCATCTTGTGCTCAAGTCACGCGTCTGCGACACTGTCAGGAGTGTGGGGATTGGAGGGTGTTGTCCACAAGTGTTTTCTTTTTTTTTTTTTTTTTTTTTTTTTTTTTTTTTTTTTTTTTTTTGAGACGGAGTCTCGCTCTGTCGCCCAGGCTGGAGTGCTGTGGCCGGATCTCAGCTCACTGCAAGCTCCACCTCCCGGGTTCACGCCATTCTCCTGCCTCAGCCTCCCAAGTAGCTGGGACTACAGGCGCCCGCCACCTCGCCCGGCTAGTTTTTTGTATTTTTTAGTAGAGACGGGGTTTCACCGTGTTAGCCAGGATGGTCTCGATCTCCTGACCTCGTGATCCACCCGTCTCGGCCTCCCAAAGTGCTGGGATTACAGGCTTGAGCCACCGCGCCCGGCCTCACAAGTGTTTTCATGAGTCTTTGGAATTCAAAAGGGCTTTTCCTGAGTTGATAGAGTCAATTGATAGGTCACCTGAAACAGACCCAGGAGACCTGATGGCATGTTTGGGCAGAGGTCAGAGACTCAGACACCAGCTACTACCCCACCAGTGGCTCAGCCTTTGTCCTTGGAAGAAGCCCCCCGACTTTCCTGCCTCAGTTTCTTATGGTGGAGAACAGATGGCAGGTGAACATCATAAAGCATTGACACCTTATGAATACTGGTATTTTGCTGTGAGACTTTTTTCCTACCCTTTATCCTTATTAAGGTTAATTCATGCTTACAATAATATCTTCATGATTCTTGAAGCAGAAGGAGGAGATGGAACAGCAATATTGGACAGATGCTGGTTTTTTTCCTAATTTCAAATCTACCATATTTTGTATTTTTTTTTTTTTTTTTTTTTTGAGGCAGGGTTTCGTTCAGTTGCCCATGGGGGCTGGAGTGCAGTAGCGCAATTTTGGCTCACTATAGCCTCAGTCTCCTGGGCTCAAGCAGTCGTCCCACCTCAGCCTCCCAAGTAGCTGGGACTACAGGCACACACCACCATGCCTGGCTAATTTTTGTGATTTTTGTAGTGATGGGATTTCATCATGTTGTCCAGGCTGGTCATCCTGTATTTTAAAAGTGAGAGTTTTTATTTGATTCTTGCCTGTGACCTTCTACTATAATGAAGCGACTGAGTCAGAACCCCCTTCACAGTGCCCCGGAGCTCCTTCTTGACGCTTGGAGGCCATCTCTGGCTGACCTTTGGTGAATGGTGTCCAGTCTCACCCTGTCAGGTTTATTTGAGCAAATTGCTGCCACATGCCTGTGTGGTGATCCAGCCGCGCCTTGCCGGCACAGTCAGCTTTAGTGAACAGGTCTATGGATCAGTGGTGCTAAGAATAATTTAAACTACTTAGGGGAAGGCTGGGGTTTAGCTGTATAGGGAACAAGGCATTCCACGGGAGGCCATTTGTTGTGTGGTGTCGCCACTGTTCCTAGATTTCTCCTGTTTGGAGTGTGCTGCGTATTCCAGATCAGAAGACGTGCCATTTTTAATCTGTTCATCTGAAAATGGTGGCAGAACCTCTGCTAAGTTCTGTGTGTAAGGGAACAACATTAGGAAAGTCTTCTTCTCTAAAGCAGGTTGTAATGTCAAGGAATGAATGAAAGAATGAAGAACTAAACTGTTCCCAGGATTATAAGAGTGGAATGTTTAGCCTTGTAGGGCTCAAGGAACTTAGTAGAAAATGCAGAAGGACAGGTGAATGAGGAGGTACTCATGTCTGTACATCTAATTTCCACCTGATCTTACCAGCAGCTGTTATTTTATTTTATTTTATTTTATTTCTTTGAGATGGAGTCTCACTCTGTTGCCCAGGCTGGAGTACAGTGGTTCACTGCAAACTCCACCTCCTGGGTTCACAGCATTCTCCTTCCTCAGCCTCCCAAGTAGCTGGGACTACAGGCACCTGCCACCACGCCTAGCTAATTTTTTTTTTAATTTTTAGTAGAGACGGGGTTTCACCATGTTAGCCAGAATGGTCTCAATCTCCTGACCTCGTGATCCGCCTGCCTCGGTCTCCCAAAGTGCTGGGATTACAGGCATGAGCCACCGCGCCCGGCCTATTTTATTATTTTTAGAGAGAGGGTCTCACTTTGTCACCCAGGCTGGAGTGCGATGGCGTGATCTCGGCTCACTGCAACCTCCATCTCCCGGGCTCAAGCGATCCTCCTACCTCAGCCTCCTGAGTAGTTGGGACTACAGGCGCCTGGCACTAAGCTAATTTTTTGTGATTTTTGGTAGAGACAGGGTTTTGCCATGTTGCCCAGGCTGGTCTTGAACTCCTGAGCTCAAGTGATCCACCCACCTCGGCCTCCCAAAGTGCTAGGATTACAGGTGTGAGCCACTGTGTCTGGCAGAAGCAGCATCTTAATCCTTTTGGGGTCGCCTGGGGCAGGGATGGCAGCACTCTCTGTAGGTGTTGCCTCCACAGGAAAGCAGTTGCCTTCTCGGCCTCCCCTGGGCTGATTTGTCTGTGGCCCCAGGCAGTCCGCAGAACCTTCCCTGCTGGGGCAGGCTATGGCCTGGAGTTGCTGTGATATCTTACCCCATTCCCTTTGTAAGCAGGCACTGGTGCCTGCAGGCCAGCTGGGAAGGGGCATCATGATGTCAGCAGCAGCCTCCCTTGCCACCCTCAGCGCCCCCCTGGTGGCATCTGCCAGCACAGGGCACCCTTGTGACAAGGCTCCCTCAGAAAGCCCACTTGCAGGCAACATGGCTTTCAAGGTGTGGAGCTGGGAAGCAGACGACTGTTGACTCCATCTCACTTCCTCCATGTCTACTCCGTCTTCTTGACAGGTTTAAGGGGCTCAAGCCGACTGTTATCCTTCTCTCCCGAGGAATTTCCGACGCTGAAAGCAGCTGGAGGGCAGGACAAGGCTGGCAAAGAAAAGGGCGTCTTAGATCTGTCGTATGGGCCAGGACCAAGCCTCCGCCCTCAGAGTAAGTGACCGCAGCCTCTGGGCACTCGATGGAGTCACAGAACTTCCTCCCCTCGTCTCTCTGTGCTCCTAGAAGGGTGCTGATGTCACTGGGGTCTCCGGTTCGAGCTGGAAACGTGGCTCTTTGGCTCGTACCCAATCTGTGCGTCCATTGGACTTGCTGCCTAGGCCATTGGGCATTGTGCCTTTTTTATCTCTTGGGTTGCGCCAGGCCTGTCCCCTCCCCCTCTGTCATCCAGTTGTTAGTTTTGTTGTGCCTGGTGGCTGTGGCAAGAATGGACAAAGGACCAATTAACTTAGGTCCCCAGTTCAAGAGCTTGTTTTCTAAAGCTCCCAATCCTAGTCGGAATCACTGGGGAGCTGGTGAATGAGTGATTTCCAGTCCTCCCCTCCCCCAGCACAGTTAGGACCTGTATTTTTAACCCATTCCTTTGGGGATTGTGACTTAAATCAGCCGGCACTGCTCTCTACTGCTCCCTTATCTTAGGTTGGCCAGGGAAAGAGCCGGGTTGTGTAGCACTTCTTGCTGGAAATTTCTCCTTGGAAGTCGAGGGTGGCTGGAGGTTAAGGTGGTGTTTAGGAATGCGATTTTCCACGTGTTCTACTCAGGAATTTTGAAGTGGCTCATGTAGTCCAGGAGACTTGATCAGGTCTTGAAACGTGAGGGCCTTTTGTTTGCTTGTCTTGAGGCCTCTCCCATTCAAGTCAGAAGTGATGTCCTATAAGTCAGTGATCACTGTGGATGTGTCTTACTTAAACCAGCACTCACTGGCTTTCCAGTGACCCACACAGGACTGGTTTATTTTGCTTCGTGGTTTTTTTTTTTTTGGTTTTGTTTTTTTGAGACGGAGTTTCACTCTTGTTGTCCAGAGTGGAGTGCAATGGTACGATCTCGGCTCACCACAACCTCCGCCTCACGGGTTCAAATGATTCTCCTGCCTCAGCCTCCCTAGTAGCTGGGATTACAGGAATGCGCCACCACGCCCGGCTAATTTTGTATTTTCAGTAGAGGCGGAGTTTCTCCATATTGGCCAGGCTGGTCTTGAACTCCTGACCTCTGGTGATCCGCCCGTCTCAGCCTCCCAAAGTGCTGGGATTACAGGCGTGAGTCACCATGCCCGGCCTTTTTATTTATTTATTTTGAGACAAAGTCTTGCTCTGTCACCCAGGCTGGAGTGCAGTGGTGCGATCTTGGCTCACTGCAACCTCTGCCTCCCAGGTTCAACCGATTCTCCTGCCTCAGTCCCCTGAGTAGCTGGGCTGGGACACAGGCGCCCGCCACCATGCCTGACTAACTTTTTGTATTTTTAGTAGAGACGGGGTTTCACCGTGTTAGCCAGGATGGTCTCAATCTCCTGACCTTGTTATCCACCTGCCTCGGCCTCCCAAAGTGCTGGGATTACAGGCGTGAGCCTCCGCACCCAGCCTGTTTGCTTCATTTTAGGGGACATGAATTATATCTTTCTGGGATTAATTAAGATGAGCTGCTTTGTGGGACTATAAAAATGTGGACATAGAAGAAGCTTCTAAGCATCAGTTTCATCTCCTCATTGGAGAAGACGAGGAAATATGGACGGCGTGACCTCGCCTTGCCCCAAATCTCACAGCAAAGGGGTTGAAGAACTGGGGTCAGACATGTCCTGGGTCTCTTTCCCTTAAGGGTTGTGTAACTCAGAGACCGTTGTGCTTCAGCTTCTAACCAAAAGGTGACCGAAAACAGGGATCTGTTGTCTCATTTGATTTCTTGTTGGCCTCTAATAATTTCCACCCGATCTTACTACATTTGGCAATAGAAAGCATCATTTAAAAAAGACAGGTCGGCAGGTTTCCGCCTGTGAGCTACGGAAGTGCCCCACACCTCCACTGGAAGGACAGCGGCTGCACTTTGCCTGTCTTGTGGGCTGGGGGATCTTTATTAAAAGGTGCCACTGCTAATCAAAGCCTGAAACCACCGTGCCTGGAACTCGCTCCTGTTTTAATGTGTAGTCCAGTGCTGACCCTAAGTGGGCTGGTCAGCATTCGTTGAAGGAATGACCCAAGGCTGTTTTCATCAGGGCCGTCTTCCTATCTCTGGGTTGAAGACTAGGGGGAAGGGTGGCGATTGTTACTCACTGATGAAGCCTTTTCTCTGAGTAGATCTCATTTTATATTTCACAGTCAGACTTCCCTCAGCAAGTTCATCCCCATTGGCCAAGGGTCTGCCCCAACCTTCCCTGACAGATTTAACAGTTCTTCACTTTTGGTGTTCTTTGTTTTTCATTTTATTTTTTTGTCGAAGGAGGGGGTCCCTTGACCTTCAGAACCTCATACGATCCCTCCTTCCCCCTCCTCTTCCCTCTCCCCTTTTGCCCCCTTTCAATTTCCAGATGTGACAAGCTGGAGGGAGGGCGGTGGGCGACACATAATTTCTGCCACGTCTCTGAGCACCTCCCCAACTGAGCTGGGCAGCAGGAACTCGAGTACGGGAGATGGAGCCCCCTCCTCGGCATGTACCAGCGATTCTAAGGACCCCTCTCTCCGCCCGGCTCAGCCTGTCCGAAAAGGGGCTTCACAGTTCATGGGAAATGTATACCACCCACCTACATACCATGATATGCTTCCTGCTTTTGTAAGTCTTCAGAGTGTACTTCCCCCCCCCCCATCAAGTTGGATTGTGTCCAGCAGATAGGTCAAGTAGTTGAATGTCCCCCTTGGGGTCTCCTCTTGGCCCTCTTACCCTACTTCTGAGGCTTCCACTGGTTTTGCATTTTCTCTCCCTGCTTTTTAAATCTTCAGGGCCTCTGGCTTCTTTCCCTGGTGATGTGGATATCATTTTAGGCTTTGGTTCTTTAGAAACAGGAGAGGCAGGTTTGCCCTGACATAGGTCCCCAGGTCTACTTACTGACAGCAGGAATGAAATGGGGGAGATGGCGGTAGGATTAATTAGGAAACCCCAAGACTTTCCTGTTTCTTTTTCCCATTTTCCACTTTACAAAACACATTCTGATTTAAGTGGAAATTGCAATTTGGGCCATTACCAGCAAATCCTGTTCATCGATGTTATGTTTCAGATGTGTTCGCCAAAGTCATCAGAAAACCAGGGTACAGTGGAACGAGGCTCTTTTCCCCTTCCTCAGCTCCGCCTTGAACCTCGAGTTCCTTTTAGACAGTTCCAGATGAATGACCAGGACGGGTGAGTCCATCGCGTTACAGTCAACGTGTGTAGAGATGAGCCCGGTGGTGATTCTGGTCAGGATGAGGGGATGATGAATAGAAGTGCTGTGTCTCCTGGAGACCGCAGAGAACTTTACCAGCTCAGCGTGGCAGGGTGTGTGGGGCGGTGGCTGGGATTCGGAGCTGATTGAGAGATTGAGTCATGATTTCAAGTGCCTGGTAGAGTTGAAGTTCTGGCACGTGCGTGTTGCTGCTGCCCTAGGCCTTAGCGACCAGCATGTAAAACTGCAGGACAAAGCAGACTTCTTTCTGGGATGTACTTGTTTGCTCATTATATATTTCTTTTAAAGGAACTGATAGAAATATTAAACATGAACCTTTGCAGTGTGAAACTTGTTTTTGGAGAGATACTTGATTTTGCTTCCGTCTGTATACTGGACATGATTCCATCATCTTTACTTTTCTCTTTTATCAGAAAAGAAAACAGGCTGGGAGTGTCTCGCCCACTCCGCCCGCTAAGGCAGCTGGTGGAGCGGGCACCACGGCCCACCATTATCAATGCGGAAAATCTGAAGGGCCTTGACGATCTGGACGCCGATGCCGATGATGGCTGGGCAGGTGGGCAGAGAAGCACGGGTGGTTTAGATGGGCAGGACCAAAGTTCATCTGTGCTTACCAGGGATGGAAACCCCCTGGCGCCACCGTGTGTTTTCCCTTGGCAAGATAGGGACTAAGAGCAGGACAGGGAAGCAGCCCCGATGCCCTCCTTCCTCATTTACTCCCCGACTAGCAGTGCCTTCCTGGCCAAGCCATTAGCTTCTTTTGGTTTTTCGTCTTGATCTTACAGTTTTGTTGTTAACTTTTAAAAAATTATTGATGATGCAAAATTTAAACACAAAAGAAAATAATAGCTCCCAACCACTGATCACTCAGGTTCAATAATTACCAATGTTCTGCCATTCAGTTTTTGTTTAATTTAATTTTTTTCCAAGAGGCAGGGTCTCAGCTACTCTGGGCATACTACCTATGGATTAGCCCTGCTTTGCAAGGAGCAGTAAAAAAAATAAAAAGGAAGGCTGGGCACGGTGGCTTACGCCTGTAATCCCTTTGGGAGGCCGAGGTGGGCAGATCACGAGGTCAGGAAATCGAGACCATCCTGGCTAACATGGTGAAACCCCGTCTCTACTAAAAATACAAAAATCAGCCAGGTGTGGTGGCGCACACCTGTAGTCCCAGCTACTCAGGAGGCTGAGGCAGGAGAATCACTTGAACCCAGGAAGCAGAGGTTGCAGTGAGCTGAGATCGTGCCACTGCACTCCAGCCTGGGTGACAGAGTGAGACACCGTCTCAAAAAGAAAAAAAAAGGAGGCCGGGCGCGGTGGCTCAAGCCTGTAATCCCAGCACTTTGGGAGGCCGAGACGGGCGGATCACGAGGTCAGGAGATCGAGACCATCCTGGCGAACACCGTGAAACTAGCCGGGCGAGGTGGCGGGCGCCTGTAGTCCCAGCTACTCGGGAGGCTGAGGCAGGAGAATGGCGTAAACCCGGGAGGCGGAGCTTGCAGTGAGATGAGATCCGGCCACTGCACTCCAGCCCGGGCGACAGAGCGAGACTCCGTCTCAAAAAAAAAAAAAAAAAGAAAAAAAGAAAAAAAAAGGATAGAGAAAGGGTCTGGCTGTGTTTCCCGTTCTGGAGTGGAGTGGCTGTTCGCAGAGTCCATCATGGTGAACTGCAGCCTCAAACTCTTCCTCCTGCCTCAGCCTCTGGAGTAGCTGGAACTACACGTGGGTGCCACAAACCCGGCTTGTTCTGCCGCTCTTATTCCTTTATCCCTACCCACTCCCTATCCCCCAACCTGATTATTTTCTTTCGTAGTTCTTTTTATTTATTTTCAGATAGATTTTAATTATAGCGAAAGGCATTCATGTCACATTTTACCTGTACAGTTTTACAAACGGATACGTGTATATCATACACATCCATATCCAGAGAGAGAGAGAACGTTTCCCTCACCACCCCAGGCTTCCTCATTGCCTCTCCAGAGCTCTGCCCTGCGACTGCTCACAGGCCTGCTGCTCTTCTGATTCACTTTACCCTGGATGAGTTTTGCCTAGTTATCAGACTTCAGATGAGTGGAGTCATACAGTTTTTACTCTTACATGGTTTTCATATTCATCAGTGTTGTTTATATGTCGGTTGCTTTTAGTTGCTGAGATATGTCCTAATGCATCAATATACTGTAATTTGTTTATTCATTCAAAAGCCCCACTCTACACCGTACTTCTGTTTCTCTTGGGTAAATATCTAGAATTGTTGGGTCAAAGGGTAGGCATAGGATTAAGTGTTTAAGACCTGTCCAAACCTTTTCCCCTGGTGGTTATGCCGTTTTACATTCCCAACAGCAGTGTGAGAATTTGGTAGGTCTGGATCTTAACATTTTGGTGTTCATCTTTTTTTTTTTAAAGAGACAGGGTCTTACTTTGTTTCCTAGGTTGCAGTGCAGTGGTGTGATCAAAGCTTACTGTAGCCTTGAACATGTTTGTCTTTTTAATTTTAGCCATTCTAGTGGGTGTTTAGTGGTATCTCATTGTGCTTTTAATTTGCATTTTGCTGATGACTAATGATGATAAACACACTTTTATGTGCTATTTGACAACTAATATATTGTCCTTTGTTTGGTGTCTGAATTTTAAAAAATTGGGTGGTAGAATACCAGCCCTGGATACAAATCCTTTGCAACTTTGATTTTGCAAATATATTTACATATTGCATTCTTTGTCTTAATTTTTTTTAAACACTGTTTTGATGAGCAGAAGTTTGACTTTTGAAATTTAATTTATAAATTTGGGTTTTTTTGTGGTTATTATTTTTGTGTCCTGTTTAAAAAAATGTTTGCTTTCCCTTGGTGGTAAAGATATTCCTAGATGTTTTATAGTTTTAACTATTAATTTTAGGTCTTTGATCCACATTGGATTAATTTTTGTATATGGTATAAGATAGGAGTCAAGGTTTGTTTTTTCCCATATGGCCAGTTCTCCACAACATTTGTTGATAAGACTTTCCCTATCAAATTGCTTTGGAACCTTTGCCAAAAATCAATTGACTGTAAAAGCATTGGTCTATTTCTGGACTCTGTTCCATTGATCTATTTGTTCCTCATGCCAGTACCACACTGTGGGTTTATAGTAAATCTTAAATTTCGGTAGTGTAAGTTTTCCAACATTGTTCTTTGCCAAGATTGTTTGTTTCTGCATAAATTTAGAATCAACCTGTCAGTATTTACAAAGAGCCTGTGGGCATTTTGGTTAGGATTATGTTGAATCTATAATGAGGTAAGTGACATCTTAATGTTTTGTCTTTTTTTCCGAGACAGAATCTTGCTCTGTCACCCAGGCTGGAGTTCAGTGGCACGATCTCGGCTCATTGCAACCTCCGCCTCCCAGGTTAAGTGATTCTTCTGCGTCAGCCTCCTGAGTGGCTGGAATTACAGGCGCGCACCACCATGCCCAGCTAATTTTTGTATTTTTAGTAGAGACGGGGTTTCACCATGTTGGCCAGGCTGGTCTCAAACTCCTGACCTTGTGATCTGCCTACCTCAGCATCCCAAAGTGCTGGGATTACAGGCGTGAGTCTCTGCGCCTTGCCTGACATCTTAACTTTGAAACTTGGTGGTGTTTTTTTTTTTTTTTTTGATATGGCTGGAGTGCAATGGCATTATCTCAGCTCACTGCAGCCTCTGCTTCCTGGGTTCAAGCGATTCTCATGTCTCAGTCTCCCAGGTAGCTGGGATTACAGATGTGGGCCACTTCGCCCAGCTAACTGTTATATTTTTAGTAGAGATGAAGTTTCACCATGTTGGCCAGGCTGGTCTCGAACTCCTGACCTCAGGTGATCAGCCCGCCTTGTGGCCTTCCAAAGTGTTGGGATTACAGGTATGAGCCACCATGTCCGGCCCTTAATTTTGAATCTTTAGGTTCAGGAATCTGGTGTATCTCTTTTTTAGGGCTTTCATTTCTCTCAGCAGTGTGTTTAGAGTTTTCATGTAGAGGTCCTGAATGTCTATTTATTCAGGCATTTTATGGTTTTTTGATGCTATTATAAATGATACTGATTTCTAAGAACGATTTTATTTTTCAAGGGTTTGCTGTCATTATATAGAAAATATAGCTGAGGCTGGGCGCAGCGGCTCACACCTGTAATCCCACTACTTTGGGAGGCTGAGGCGGGTGGATCACAAGATCAGGAGATCGAGACCATCCTGGCTAACATGGTAAAACCCCGTCTCTACTAAAAATACAAAAAATTAGCCAGGTGTGGTGGTGGGTGCCGGTAGTCCCAGCTACTTGGGAGGCCGAGGCAGGATAATTGCTTGAACCCGGGAGGCGGAGGTTGCAGTGAGCCAAGATCGTGTCACTGCACTCCAGCCTGGGTGATAGAGCAAGACTTAGTCTCAAAAAAAAAAAAGAAAAAGAAAATACAGTTGATTTTTGTTTTTTGTATTCACTGGTACCAGACACTTTGTTGAGTATGTTAGTTTTACTGGTTTTTGTTGAATTCTTAGAGTTTTCTACATAGACCCTTATGTAGTTTGTAAATAAGGAGTTGTCTCTTTCAGATTACGTACCTTTTATTTATTTGTATTTTGCCTTATTGCACTGTGGTATACTTCTAGTATAACATTAACCTCAAGTTCTTTCTGATCTTAGAACGAAAATGTTTCGTGTGTCAGCATGAAGTGTTAGCTGTGGGTTTTTCAGAGGTGCTGTTTTTCAGGTTGAGGATCTGTTGCCTTCTGAGTCTAGTTTGTGGAGCCTTTGGGTTTTTTGTTTTTTTAAATTACGGGTATTGCATTGTGTTCACTGCTTTTCTACATCCGTGATCATATTGTTTTTCTCCTTTATTTTGATAATAGATTGCATTGATTTTTTTTTTTTTAATGCTAAACCAACCTTGCATTCTTAGAATAAACCCTCCCTTTTTGTATGCCTAGACCTAGTGTGTTAATATGTTATTAAAGTTCTGTCATGAGGGATATTAGTCTGTAATTTTCTATTCTTTTAATGTCTTTGTCAGGTTTTGGTATCAAGTTATGCTGGGCTTATAAAATGAGTTGTGGAATGTTCCCTCTCTACTTTCCTAAAAAATAAGATTGGTATTTTTGTAAGATTGGTATTACATCTTTTTCTTTTTCTTTTTCTTTTTTTGTTTTTTGAGACGGGGCCTCTCACTTTGTCACCCAGACTGAGTGCACTGCTGTAATAATGGCTCAACGCAGCCTCAAACTCCTGGGCTCAAGTGATCTTCCTGCCTCACCTTCTGAGTGGCTAGGATTACAGGTGTGGGCCAGTGTGCCTGGCCAGTATTACTTTACCAGCGAAACAGTTTTGCCCCTGGAGCTTTCATTGTGGAAATGTTTTCAGCAATTTATTTGATGTGATTAGTTAGGAGACTGTGCAGATTTCCTATGTCATTTCCTGTGAGTTTTTCAGTAAGTTGTGTTTTTTGAGGAATTTGTTCATTTCTTTTGAGTTGTTGAAATTGTAACATAAAGTTGTTGAAAATACATTACATTATCCTTTTGATATCTGTAGGATCTGTAGTGATATCTTTTAATTCCTGATAATTTATATATTTCTTTTTCTTCATTTCTGCCAAGGAATTAAGTTTTATTAATCTTGACGAAGCAGCAGCTTTTGGCTTTGTTCATTTTCTCCATTGTTTGACTTGTTTTTGTATCTATTTTAAATGATTTTTTAAATCATTGAGGCAATTTTTTATTACTGGGCCTTTCTAGATTGCTAATTTAGATGTCTTATAGCCAGAGAGCACATTCTGTATGATTTCAGTTGTTTTCAAGTTAGTAAGACTTGTTTTATGACTAAAATATGATCTGTCTTGGAGAATATTTCAGGTGCACTTTGAAAAGTATATATTCTGCAGTTGTTGTTGGGTGTCATGTTTTGTATGTTCCAACTTAGTCAAGGTGGTTGATGGTGGCATTCAGATCTTACTGTATATTTACTGATATTTTTGTCTGCTTCTGTCAGTTAAGGAAAGTGAAATGTTAAACTCTAATTATGCATTTATCTCTTTCTCCCTTTTATACTGTTGGTTTCTGCTTCATTTATTTTGAAGCTGCTTACACACATTTATAGTTTCCATGCCTTTCTGGTGTGTTTCCACATTTCCCTCCTTATCTCTAGTAGTCTCTTATCTTGCAGTCTCTTTTGTCCTGTGTTCATACCATCGCTCTGACTTACTGTTTCCAGGGAATATCTTTTTCCATTCTTTTCCTTTAAACTCCTTTGTGTTTGTATTTAAAGTGATTATTTAGTAGATAGCACGTAATTGCAACTTGCTTTTTCAGTTCCTAACTCTTCCTTTTAATTAGATTGAGTTTTTGTTGTTACCTTTTAAATTTTTTTTATTTTAACTTAATTTATTTTTTTTAGAGATGGGGTCTTGCTCTGTTGCCCAGGCTGGTCTTAAACTCCTGGGCTCAAGCAATCCTCCCGCCTTAGTCTCCTGTGTAGCCAGGACTGCAGGCGTACATCATGGTGCTCAGTTAGCCTTGTGTTTGAGGCAGGATCTTGCTGTGTCGCCCAAGCTGGAGTGCACTGGCACAGTCACAGCTCACTGCAACCTCAACTTCCTGGGCTTAGGTGATTCTCTCACCTCAACCTCCAGAGTAGCTGGGACTACAGGTGTGCACTACTATGGCTGGCTGATTTTCTGTATTTTTAGTAGTGATATGGTTTCGCCATGTTGCCCAGGCTGGTCTCAAATTCGGGCCTCAAGTGATTTTCCTGTCTCAACCTCCCAAAGAGCTGGGATTACAGGTGTGAGCCACTGTGAATTATATGATTATATGATTCACATAATTTTCATATAATTATGATTGACATGATTGTCATATAACATAAAATTTACCTTTTAAAGTCTATGGTTTAGTGGGTTTTAGTATATTCACGAGGTTGTACAACTACCATGACTATCAATTTCAGAATGTTTCCATCACTCAAAAAAGAAACCCAATACCTGTTGGCAGGCGCTCTCTGCCACCTGCTAATCCTGTGGCAAAAATAAATCTACTTTCCATCTCTATGGATTTGCACATTCTGGTCATTTCCTATCAATGGAATCAATATGTGGCCTTTCTGGTCTGGCTTCTTTCACTTAGTATAATGTTTTCACAGTTAACTGTGTTACAGCATGTGTTTGTATTCATTCTGTTTTATGACCAAATAATAATTTCATTGTGTGGACCTACCACACTCTGTTCACACAGTCTTCAGTGATGGATACTTTCTGCCATCTCAGCCACTTGGGCTGATCAGTGCCTAGGGCAAGTCGTAACTCACAAATCTCCCAAGTCAAGCTTCTGTATTATAAGGGTAGACAGCTACTTCGTTTCTGCCTGCTTTGTTCACCCTCTTGGGCCTTGAAATAGATTTTAAAGATTTATTGTTCAGATTTAAGAATTGTTACCTGTGGGGTGGTTAGTCTAACCAAGCTGCCCTGCTCTTACCAGAAGCCAAAACTGCCCTTCAGTCACAGGGGGAGGCAGCCAGGTGATTGACTCAGCTCCTCTGCTGGGATAGCAAGATTCCTGGCCGAGGGAAGCTCTCTGATGGTGCCTGGGCACCATTGACCTTTTCTTTTTCTTTTTTATTTTTTTGATACGGAGTCTCACTCTGTCGCCCAGGCTGGAGTGCAATGGCACGATCTCGGCTCACTGCAACCTCTGCCTCCTGCATTCAAGCTATTCTCCTGCCTCAGCCTCCTGAGTAGCTAGGATTACAGGCATGTGCCACCACGCCCAGCTAATTTTGTATTTCTAGTAGAGGTGGGGTTTCACCATGTTGGTCAGGCTGGTCTCAAACTCCTGACCTTATGATCCGCCGACCTCAGCCTCCCAAAGTGCTGGGATTACAGGCATGAGCCACTGCGCCCGGCCACCACTGGCCTTTTCGTTCTTTCTCATTTTACCTGGGCCCTTCTGCCGTTGTAGGCCTCCATGAAGAAGTGGACTACTCTGAGAAACTGAAGTTCAGCGATGATGAAGAGGAGGAAGAAGTTGTGAAGGACGGCAGGCCAAAGTGGTAAGGACCCGTCCGTGCCCCATCAGCGTGAGTGCATCCCTGCTTGGTGCTGCTATGTGCTGAGAGCATTTCCCAGTTTCCATAGCAACCTGGATGGGCAGACAGATGCTGTTTCCAGTTTCTTCTGGGGGTGACAGCTACTGATGATGGCTGTGAAGGAGGGGAGCCACAGTTTGCTTGCAGGTGTGACTGTGTCCTGTGCATAGTCGGCCTTTTCACCACCACATCAGTGTGTCCCCAAGTGTGTTATGCAGACCACGTCTTCATGGATTGCTTGTGGCTGTTGTGCCCGAAAAGGCTTCTGTGGCCAAGCAAGTCTGGGAAACCTCCCTGGGTTCAACTTTTTTTTTTTTTTTTTTTTGAGACAGGCTCTCACTGTCGCCCGGCCTGGAGTGCGGTGGCGTGATGTGATGTTGGCTCACTACAACCTCCATCTCCTGGGCTCAGCGATTCTCCCTCCCACCTCAGCCTTCTGAATAGCTAGGACCACAGATGCACGCCACCATACCCAGCTAATTTTTATATTTCTGCTAGAGATGGGGTTTTGCCACGTTACCCAGGTTTGGTCTCAAACTCCTGGGCTCAAGCAATCCCCTGTGCCCGGCCTCAACTTCTTTCTTTACTCTAAATTCCTCAGAGGCTTGAACATGATAAAGTACACTGGGGGCTGGGCACGGTGGCTCATGCCTGTAATCGCAGCACTTTGGGAGGCTGAGGCAGGTGGATCTCTTGAGGTCAGGAGTTTGAGACCAGCCTGCCCAAGATGGTGAAACCCCGTCTCTACTAAAAGTACAAAAATTAACCAGGTGTGGTGGCATGTGCCTGTAATCCCAGCTACTCGGGTGGCTGAGGCAGGAAAATTACTTGAACCCAGGAGGCAGAGGTTACAGTGAGCAAAGATTGCGCCACTGTACTCCAGCCTGGGCGACAGAGCAAAACTTTCTCTCTCAAAAAAAAAAAAAAAAAAATAAGTACACCGGGGAAGTGAAGAAGCAGAATGCATGCCAGCTTTCCTGAATTTATTTGATCATGTTAATTTTGTCTCTCTCTTTTTTTGATCATTACCTCAGACTAGTTTAGTTTTACTTAATTTCCTTTAGAAAATACTTCATTGTACTGTCATCCCTCCAGTTTTTATAATGTTAGTAGCATTTGCTAGTACTTTTAAAATAATACCCCACAATGGCCGGGCGTGGTGGCTCACGCCTGTAATCCCAGCACTTTGGGAGGCCAAGGCGGGCGGATCACGAGGTCAGGAGATCGAGACCATCCTGGCTAACACAGTGAAACCCTGTCTCCACTAAAAATACAAAAAACTAGCCGGGCGTGGTGGCGGGCACCTGTAGTCTCAGCTACTCCGGAGGCTGAGGCAGGAGAATGGTATGAACCCGGGAGGCGGAGCTTGCAGTGAGCTGAGATCACTGCGCTCCAGCCTGGGTGACAGAGTGAGACTCTGTCTCAAAAACAAAACAAAACAAAACAAAAAAATAACCCACAATTAGCCAGACATGGTGTGCACCTGTAGTCCCAGCTACTCAGAAGGCTGAGGTGGGAGGACTACTGGAGTCCAGAAGGTCGAGGCTGCAGTGAGCCATGATTGCACCACTGCACTCCAGCCTGGGTGACAGAGCAAGGCCTGTCTCAAAAAATTAATAAATGATTGTTATAATTTGTATTTTTTGAGTACTAGCAAGTAAGAATTTTTTCTTTGTTTCCTTTGTATAATGCCTGTTTCCTTCACATTTATTACTGCTTTCCTTTAAAATGTGATGTTTTATATTGTTTAGATGTTAATGCTTTGCTGTTGTCTTGCAAATATTTTTCTCTTTGTTTTCTTGTCAATAACTGAATATTTGTTTAGTCAAATCTGTGAGTCATCTTTTTCTGTTATTTCATCCTTTACTTAAAAGCTCCTATAAGTTCCCATCTCCTGGAAGGAGTTGGTAATCATCTTTGCTACTCTTTTTCTGATAACACACAAAAAATGAAATTCTGTAATGTCCTTTCATGCTGTTTGATTTCAGCTGAAGCTTTGGATGCAGTCGGGACGTACCTATGGGGTCAGTTCCTGGAACACTAAGCTCAGAAGGAGCTGTGATCAAGAATTTAAATCAAAGGCAAAGACATAAACTCCTAGAGCCTGATTAGAGCAGTAGGACCCTCTGTTCCTTGTCTCTTTGAGGCGATGGGAACCGAATTTTCCCCTGAAGGAATTGGACGTTGGTTTTGGAAGCAGTTTTGCCCCTGGCTTTGACCAAGGGCACTTGAAAATCAGAGTGCCCGAACGACCTCCTCCTGAAACCTGCTCTTTTTTTCGTGTTCCCTGAGCTGGTTGGTGACCTGGTAGAGACTTAGTGCAAGCGTCCATGTCTTATTTGGCATCTTTATTTCCTCATACACAATTGGCTCCCAAAACTTGCCCTGACTCTGTCTCCTCTTTTCATTTTCTCTGGGGCCACTGGGACCTCCTCCTTTTCCAGACCATCCATGGGTCCACCAGTTCATCTCCATCCTTTCAGCCTGTCCTCTGTGGCCCATCCTTCACACCCTGTCCATAGTCATCTTCTAAAAACACAGGTCTTTTAGACAGGTCAGCAGCTTTACTGTGGTCTCCATTTCTCACAAAATCAGGTCAGAATCACCGTTGTCCCCTCTGTAATCTCCTAAGCCGTGTTACCTGCCTCGTCTTCCCTCCCTCCCCATGTACATGTGTGTGGGTAGACATACGGACTCACGCGTATGCCATCCCTGATTCCGGCTTTTCTGTGGTCTGCGGTATTATCGGGCCCTTGTCAATGCTTTGCCCCAGTCCCATTGCTTCCACTGTGAGGCATCCAGACAAGCACGGCACCCATCTCCCTTCTTGTCCAGCTGCCCCTGCAGCTCTGTTTGGAATGCCTCTTCCTTTCCCGTGCTGCATGGGCTCTGCCTGTCTCCTCTTGCTCTTTTTATTGTGGCACTGTTTATTATCATCTTATGTTCTTTTGAGGGGCATTTATTGAGCAACTGGCTTGTGCAGAGCATAGGGAGGGAGCGGTACCAAAAGAAGACTGACACGGACCTGGGAGTCCTGGTTCAAATCTGTGAGCTCCTCCTTGTGAGGGGTGCCCCCTTAACCTTGATGAGACTCAGCTACTGACTTTCTAAAGCAAGGGTGTCCAATCTTTTGGCTTCCCTGGGCCACACTGGAAGAGTGTGTCTTGGGCACACATAAAATACACTAACACTAACGATAACTGATAAGCTAAAAAGAAAAAGTCACAAAAAAATACCTCATAATGTGTTTTTATTATTTTCTCTTTGGGTTGGGATCTTGCTCTGTTGCCCAGGCTGGAGTGTAGTGCCGCGATTTTGGCTCACTGCAACCTTCACCTCCGGGGTTCAAGCACTTCTCCCACCTCAGCCTCGAGTAGCTGGGATTACAGGTGCCTGCTACCACACCTGGCTAATTGTTGTATTTTTAGTAGAGACTTGGTTTAACCATGTTGGCCTGCCTGGCCTGGAACTCCTGACCTCAAGTGATCGGCCCGCCTCAGCCTCCCAAAGTGCTAGGATTAGAGGCGTGAGCCACTGCGCCCAGGCCCTCTTGTAATGTTTTAAGAAAGTTTACGAATTTGTGGTGCACTGTATCCAAAGCCCAGGGCCGTCCTGGGCCACATGTGGTTGGACAAGCTTGCTTTAAAGTGAGGGTCATGAGGACTTTTTTTGCATCAGTGAAATAGTGTGACACATCCTACCTGGGGCTCTGTTTATGAGAGTGACTTGATAAATGGTGGTGCTGAATTGTGGAGTTCACATGAAAGTGGTGGGAGTGGTGGTCCATTCTAATGAAGGAAATGATATGGACAACTGACTTTGGAATTCCCAAGGCCTCTGACCAGTGACATCAGACATGCTTGGCCTGACTGCAAAAATTAACATCAAATGTGGTTTGTCCTAGGAACAGTTGGGACCCTAGGAGGCAGCGGCAGTTGTCAATGAGCTCTGCAGACAGTGCGGACGCTAAGCGGACTCAAGAGGAAGGGAAGGACTGGGCTGAAGCAGTGGGTGCGTCCCGTGTCGTCCGAAAGGCGCCAGACCCTCAGCCACCGTCCAGGAAGCTTCATGGCTGGACACCAGGCCCTGACTACCAGGTACCAAGGGCCCTTGGCTGTCCTATGTATTTGTACTTCATTGAGTTCAGTGGCTGGGTTTCTGAAAAGTCCTAAGTGGGCATTTCTTTTTCATTTTTATATTTCTTCTTTTTTTAAAGTATTTTTTTCATAGAGACAGGGTCTCACTGTGTTGCCCAGGCTGGTCTTAAACTCCAGCTCAAGTGATGCCAAAGTGCTAGGATTGTAGGTGTGAGCCACCATACCCTGCTATTTTTACTTTTTTTGAGAAAAGGCCTTGCTCTGTCCTTCACCTCCCACCCTCAAGTGATCCTCCCACCTCAGCCTCTTGAGTAGCTGGGACTACCGGTGTGCCGCCACATCTGGCTCATTTCATTCATTTTTTTTGTAGAGACGAGGTCTTACTGTGTTGCCCAGGCTGGTCTTGTGCTCCTGGGCTTAAGGGATCCTCCTATCTCAGCCTCTCAGCGTGCTAAGATTATAGGCATGAGCCGCTGCGTTTGTCCTCTCGTTTTAATTAAAATAAAAAATAAAAAACAGCCGGGCATGGTGGCTCACACACTTTGTAAGGCTGAGGCAGAGGGATCGCTTGAGATACCAGGAGTTCAAGACCATTCTGGCCAACACAGCAAAACCCTATCTCCAAAAAAAAAAAAAACCAGCCAAAAAAATAATTAAAACAGCCTCAAAGTGATAGCAAAGTTGGAAGTACAATACCAACGTTTTTTTTTCTAAACTGATTGAACAGTAAGTTGACAACCTGATGAGACTCTTTACACTGTGGTACTTGTTTCCTACCAAGATGGGGACATTCCACCCAGGTAACCACAGTGAGTTCCAGGAAATTAGCCTTGATAATTGATTGGCATTTAATCTGCAGGCCCCATTTAGCTTTTACCAGTTGTCACATTAATGTCCTTGCTTGAAATAATCCAGTTCAGAATCACACACCTCTGCCCTTCAGTCTGGATCCATTCCTCAGCCTTTCCTTCACTTTCATGACTTTGAGGCTTTGGAAGATTACAAGTCAGTGGAATGCCCCTCAAATTGGGTTTATCATCATCTTTCTCGTGAAGAAGTCCAAGATTTCCATCCTTGGCAGGGATCTTCAGGCATGACCTGACTTTTCTCATTTCATCCCACCAAGGGAACCACGATTTTACCCCGTCCCCCTCTGGCTACGCGCACTTTGGTCTCTTGATTAACGGGGTGCCTGCCAGGTTTCATGCTGTAGTGTTACTCTTTTCCCTATTTGTAGTTGATAATTTTTTTGGGAGAAACTTTGAGACTGGACATCTCGTTTTTGATCAAGCTTTCAGTTTATTCATTTATTTACATCAGTGGGTGGTAATCTGCTGCTCTTACCTGGTTGGCCATTGGGAGCTTCTTCAGGCCAGTGCATGTCCTTTTTACCTATTCTCCATCCTTTTTGGAGCCCTCCCTTCATCTTTCCTGGATGCATGACCTGTCTTGTCCTGGATCAGCCCTTTCTCCATGAAGTCCTAATTCCTTTTAGTGAAGGATAGTATTTAGAAACCAGTGTCTGAGCCCCAGCAGTCTCCTTGCTGCTGGGGTGTCACTGCTCCTGGGCCTCCTCAGCGGACAGTTCGGGGGGATGTATGTAGTGTAGTATGTATGTGCACAAATACACACATTCATACCTGTATTATTTCTGTATCTGTCCATCTTGGAAACTGTGTTCTCCTCGATACCTCCAGTTCCACAGACTTCATTCCACTTCCTCCCAGTGCATGTTTGCACCTCCTTTCTCTCACAGTGAGAATCTGTCTCCCATCGTCCCTCATATTTATACTCACTTGGTCAGTCTCCCTGTGTGTGACCAATCTCATTTCTGCTGCCACACTCTCTCCCTTGCACAGGTGCCCTCCTTGCCCACTCAGATGTTATTGTCCCCACTCCTGGATACCCTGAATGTCCCTGCTGGGCCAACTCTGCCTATGAATGTCCCCCTCATCTAGCTTGGGCTCCAGCCCCACACCTCCATGTGTATGCCCTCCTCCCCTTGCCTGGGCTCTAACCATTTGGAGTGCAGTGAGCCGCCAGGACTCCCCGGCACCAGGCACCTGACTCACATTGCCACACCTAATGACTCTGGGACTGGACTGTTGAGGAGTGGGAGGGCTGGGGAAGGGGGAGTCATGACTTTGAATACACTTGGTAAAGCCTGCTATTTTCAATGCTCTTTGCTATTTATTTATTTATTATTACTTGTTTTTGGAGACGGAGTCTCACTCTGTTGCCAGGCTGGAGTGTAGTGGCGCAGTCTTGGCTCACTGCAACCTCTGCCTCCTGGGTTCAAGCGTTTCTCCTGCCTCAGCCTCCTGAGTAGCTGGGATTACAGGCATGCACCGCCGTGCCTAACGAACTTTTGTATTTTTAGTAGAGACGGGGTTTCGCCATGTTGGCCAGGCTGGTCTCAAACTCCTGATCCGCCCACCTCAGCCTCCCAAAGTGCTGGGATGACAGGCGTGAGCCAGTGCGCCAGCCTGCTCTTCGCTATTGAAAGGGCTCCTATTCCACATTCTTATGAAATGAAAATGCCCCTTAGCTGCAGTCTTCTTATTGAATACTTATTATATGCCAGGCACATACATACGTGCTGGGTACAAGAGACACAGAAGCGAAACAGAATAGACACAATGCCACTGCTCTTGGAAATTATTCTGCAGTTAATCCGCATTTTCATTCACATGTTGAGGTTGCTCAGTATTCCTTTTTTTTCCTTTTCACCAGTCAGGAAGTAGTGCTGATCAGTATTCAAAAGGTTTCACTTTAACCTACTCATGATAGCACTGTAAATTAACTGAACATCAACACTGATGAAATCTATGTACTAAATTTATGTATCCAAGGCATCTTCTGACCAAATTTCCAGTTTCCTTTCCTTTCCTTTTCTCTTTTCTTTCCTTTTCTTTTCACTTTTCTCTTTTCTTCTCCCCTCCCTTCCTCTCCCCTCCCCTCCCCTCCCCCAGAGCCTCACTCTGTCACCCATGCTGGAGTGCAGTGGTGTGCTCTCAGCTCATTGCAACCGCCGCCTTCCAGGTTCAACCAGTCCTTCTGCCTCAGCCTCCCACATAGCTGAGATTATAGCTGTGTGCCACCACACCCAGCTAAGTTTTGTATTTTTAGTAGAAATGGGGTTTCACCATGTTGCCTAGGCTGGTCTTGAACTCCTGACCTCAGGTGATCCACCCACCTCGGCCTCCCAAAGTACTAGGATTATAAGCGTGAGCCAATGCACCCGGCCTATTCTGACCAAATTTTTAAAAAAATGATCTGAATTCGCCCAGCCGTGGTGGCTCACACCTGTAATCCCAGCACTTTGGGAGCCCAAGGCGGATGGATCACGAGGTCAGAAGTTCTAGACCAGCCTGACAAACATGGTGAAACCCCATCTCTACTAAAAATATAAAAATTAGCCGGGTGTGATGCGGTGTGCCTGTATTCCCAGCTGCTCAGGAGAATCACTGGAATCCAGGAAGCAGAGGTTGCAGTGAGCCGAGATTGCGCCACTGCACTCCAGCCTGGGCGACGGAGCGAGACTCTCTTTTAAAGAAAAAAAAAAAGGCTGGGCACGGTGGCTCAAGCCTGTAATCCCAGCACTTTGGGAGGCCGAGATGGGCGGATCACGAGGTCAGGAGATCGAGTCCATCCTGGTTAACACAGTGAAACCCCATCTCTACTAAAAATACAAAAAAACTAGCCAGGCGTAGTGGCGGGCGCCTGTAGTCCCAGCTACTCGGGAGGCTGAGGCTGAGGCAGGAGAATGGCGTAAACCCGGGAGGCGGAGCTTACAGTGAGCCAAGATCAAGCCACCGCACTCCAGCCTGGGCGACTGAGCAAGACTCCGTCTCAAAAAAGAAAAAAAAAATTGGTCTCAGTTCAAATTACTTTGCACAACATTTAGTCTATAAAATGATCACTAATTTCAGGGCTGTTTAGGAAGGCACATCAAAGATCTTGATGGTGTACGTGTGCCCTCTGAGTCTATTATTTCCTTTCCAGGAAATTATCTGAAGGAAGTAATCAGGGCTAGGTGTGAAGGCTATGTGCAGTGGTGTATTAAATCCCATGCAATAAAGACAGATAGGCAGATTTTGGTATGAGCCATGAACTGATCGGTACACAGCCATTAGAAAGATATGGATAGATGCTCATGTTCGATGGCAAAGTGAAAGGAAACTGCATGCTTCGGCTCCAATGATACTATATAAAATGTTCCTTCGTGCTTCTAAATTGGAAATTTATAATCTTATGATTACAGTACTTATCTCTGGCTTATGAGAAGTTAATTTTTAGGAAACTCGTTGACTACAGTAAATTTGTTGTATATTTCTTTTACCGAAGTATAACTCACAAGAAAAGGCCTAGATCCTGTTTCTTTGGTTTGATTTTTGACAGCTGTATACATTTCTGTTAACTAGCATTCAAAACAGGAAATCCTGTCTTTTTCTTATAGTCAGATCTCATTAGAATTTCAGTGGCCGGAGCTCAGGTGACAGCTGTCCATCATTTGTGCCGTTGCCAGGTCTGCATGCTGCTTGACCCCTGCAGACCAGTGCGAAAGGGCCCCAGTGTCGAGCTTTTCACTCTGCATCTTTGGCACTCTCGTCGTCTAGTAACTGGCAACCAGCAAGAAACTCAGAAATGGATAAATATCCAAAAGAGATTTTTTTTAGGCATGCTTTGTTTTTTTTTTTTTTTTTGATGGAGTCTAGCCCTATCCCCTGGCTGGAGTGCAGTGGTGTGATCTCGGCTCACTGCAGCCTCCTGGGCTCAAGTGATCCTTCCCACCTCAGCCCAGTAGCTGGGACCATAAGCATGTGCCCATGCCCAACGAATTTTCCTAATTTTTTTTTTTTGGGGGGGTATATATGGGGTCTCACCATATTGCCCAGTCTGGTCTTGGGCTCCTAGGCTCATGCGTCCCCCACGTTGGCCCCCCAAAGTGTAGGAATTACAGGCATGAGCTACTGCACCTGGCTAGACATGCTTTTTTTTTTTTTTTTTTTGAGAGAGATAGAGTCTCACTCTGTTGCCCAGGCTGGAGTGCGGTGGCATGATCTCGGCTAACTGCAACTTCCACTTCCCAGGTTCAAGTGCTTCTCCTGCCTCAGTTTCCCAAGTAGGTGGGACTGCAGGCGCACGCCACCACGCCTAGCTAATTTTTGTATTTTTAGTAGAGATGGTGTTTCATCATGGTGGCCAGAATGGTCTGGAACTCCTGACCTCAGGTGATCCACCCGCCTTGGCCTCCCAAAGTGCTGGGATTACAGGCGTGAGCCACTGTGCCCTGCTGACATGCTTAAATGTCTGACAGCTTTATGTCTGACAGTGAATTTCATTTTGCCAGGGCTCCTTCTACCCAGGGATTTATGTATTTTTGTGCGGGCAGGAGTAGCAGTTTCGTGACCCAGGAATGATCAGTGTGTGGCTTCCTGTTCTGGTTTTTAGCCATGGAGGCCCTTAGCTTGCATGCCCATCAGCAGTGGTGAGAGTGTTTCCCGCGTGTGGGTCGCATATTGCTTTGCAAACATGGTTTTCACCTTCACAATGCTAAGAGCTTCCTTTGTTGTCCCCATTTTAAAAACAAGGAAGTGAGGTGTGGAGAGTTGGCACTTGGCCTAAACCCCATTCTACATACAGCAGAGGCCAGAGCAGGATTCAAACCCAGCTCTGTCTGCCACACGCCGGTGCTGCCCCTTGAAGGTGCTTGAGGATCTTCGGAGGATAACTGATCCCAAAGTGGGGGTGTTCCCTGTATCCCGGGTCCACGACCCACCGCCTTATCTCAGAGACGTTCTCTTGGCAGAAGTCCTCAATGGGCAGCATGTTCCGGCAACAGTCCATCGAGGACAAGGAGGACAAGCCCCCACCGAGGCAGAAGTTCATTCAGTCGGAGATGTCCGAGGCGGTGGAGCGAGCCCGAAAGCGCCGGGAAGAAGAGGAGCGCCGAGCCCGGGAAGAGAGGCTGGCCGCCTGCGCTGCCAAACTCAAGCAGCTAGACCAGAAGTGTAAGCAGCAGGCACGAAAGGCAGGTGAAGCCCGGAAGCAGGCCGAGAAGGAAGTGCCCCGGTCTCCAAGTGCTGAGAAAGCATCTCCCCAGGAAAACGGCCCTGCTCTCCGCAAAGGTAACTGGAAACTCTCCCACCAACTGGAAACTCTGGCCTGTTGTCATCGGCTTGTTACTTGCAACTGCCTTCCTTCTTAGCTAGCAGAACCTATGGCTTACAACGAGATCGTATAGGGAAGCGTTGGTTATTAAGAGCGTAGGCCTGGGTCAGATGCCTGGGTTCTGATCCTATTTGAACTTCTTTTTTATAATTTCAACTTTTACTTTAGTGTCGGGGTACGTTGTGTGATGCTGAGGTTTGGGGTATGAATGATCCTGTCACCCAGATAGTGAGCATAGTACCCAATAGGTAGTTTTTCAGCCCTTTTTCCTTCTCCCTCTGAACTTGTTAAACTAACTGGTGAGCACCTCACCTTTCTGAAGCCTGTTTCTTCATCTGTGAAATGGGTTGAGTACGTACCTGCCAGCACGCGGAGGGGTATACAGCACGCTCGTTTCTGGGACATTGAAAGCATGCATCTACTCACTGATGATGCTCATCATTGTCACTATTATCATCACTATCCCTGCCCAACCAAAGACACACGTGCTCCAGGACTTTAATAAAACCACAGATCCTTTAACACGGAATAAAAATAAGCCCACCTGCTTGGTAGAATACAGTTTTTCCTGGTGTTGATTCTAAAAGGAATGGATCACATGGCCCTATTTTTTTTTTTTTTTTCTGAGACGGAGTCTCTTTCTGTCACCCAGGCTGGAGTGGCATGATCTCTGCTTACTGCAACCTCCGCCTGCCAGGTTCAAGCAATTCTCCCAGCTCAGCCTCCCGAGCTGCTGGGATTACAGGCGCCCGCCACCACGCCCAGCTAATTCTTGTATTTTTAATAGAGACAGGGTTTCACCATGTTGGCCAGGCTGGTTTGGAGCTCCTGGCCTCAAGTGATCCATCTGGCTCGGCCTGCCAAAGTGCTGAGATTACAGGCGTGAGCCACCTTGCCCAGGCAACATGGCCCTGTTTAAGAGTGATTAAGCAGTGCTCTGTAATGCAGAATGTCTCTTGTAGCAGTTTTAAAAAATATAATCAGCTGTTTTCTTTGTAATTTTCTTAAATATACTCAAATCAGCTCTGGTTAGGAAACAAGGGGATGTTTGAGGCTCTGAAAGCTTTTCAGGTTAGAGAGCCCCAGTGCCCTCTGGCCAGGGAACTCATCTCTGGTTTTCCTTCTACCCTCCTTCCATTAAAGGTTGAGTGAGGACTGTGCCAGTCTTATAGGGAAGTTGCACTGAGCATTTTCTGAAAACAGGCACTGTTTTCAGTATATTATTGTAATTAATTTAATTCTCACAGAAGCCCTTGGTGAACACATGGTAGTTATTCTTATTTGCAGATGAAGAAATGGCCAAAGAGAGCCTGAAAAATGTGCCCAGGTCACACAGCCTTTCTCTCGTTTTTGTTTTTGTTTTTTTCCTTTTTTAAAAAATTGTTTTTTCTTTTGTATCCTTGCCAGCAGGAAGCCATACACAGTATTTCCATATGTTGAGTTCCTGCTGTTCAGGTGTTGGATATGTGGGCTGTCACTGAGTTCATGGCTGTTCTGTTCTCTGTCAGTCCTTTTTTTTTTTTTTTTGGGAGATGATGGAGTCTTGCTCTGTCACCCAGGCTAGAGTGCAATGGGGCAGTCTCACTGCAACCTCTGCCTCCTGGGTTCAAACGATTCTCTCACCTCAACCTCCATATAGCTAGGATTACAGGCGTATGCCACTATGCCCGGCTACTTTTTGTACTTTCTCTTTTTCTTTTGAGAAGGAGTCTCACTCTGTTGCCTAGGCTGGAGTGCAGTGGCCGGATCTCTGCTCACTGCAAGCTCCGCCTCCTGGGTTCACGCCATTCTCCTGCCTCAGCCTCCTAAGTAGCTGGAACTACAGGTGCCTGCCACCACGCCTGGCTGATTTTTTGTATTTTTAGTAGAGACAGGGTTTCACCATGTTAGCCAGGAGGTTCTCTATCTCCTGACCTCGTGATTCACCCATCTCGGCCTCCCAAAGTGTTGGGATTACAGGCGTGAGCCACTGTGCCCGGCCAATTTTTGTACTTTCAATGGAGATGGAGTTTCACCATGTTGGCCAGGCTGGTCTTGAACTCCTGACCTCAAGTGATCCACCCCCCTCAGCCTCCTAAAGTGCTGGGATCACAGCTGTGAGCCACTGTGCCCGGCCTTATTAGTCCTTTTTAATAAAACGTCTTCCACCTGAAATCAGATCTCAGCTCTGATGTGTGTGACTGACTGTGTGACCCTGTACATTATCTAACCTCTTGACCCTTAGTGTCCTAGTCTGTAAGGTGGCAACAAAAGTGAAGCCTCCTCACGTGTGTTGTGGGGAGTCCCTGAGCTCATGCACGTGGTACGTTTGGTGCAGGCCCAGGGTTCAGGGATGTGACTATTCTTGAAATAGAGCGTACGTGCCAACAGGAAGAAGTGCTTGCTTGTAAACACTTGGTTGGTTGAGCTTCTGTGAGCTCACTGTGTTATTTCTCTGCTGGTATATTCTCTAGGCTCCCCAGAATTCCCTGCCCAAGAGACCCCCACCACGTTCCCAGAAGAGGCACCCACAGCGTCCCCAGCAGTGGCACAGAGCAGCAGCAGTGAGGAAGAGGCCAGAGAGGCTGTGTCCCCTGCTCAGGAGTTCAAGTATCAGAAGTCCCTTCCTCCCCGATTCCAGCGCCAGCAGCAGCAACAACAGCAGGTAAACAGATGAGATGGTAAAAGCCTGTGATAAACAGGCCTGAGTGCCGAGTAGATACTTCCTGTCACCATCCCCATGCCCACCTCCAACTTAGAAAAAGTCCAGAATACCCCTTATGTGTCCCCAAGACCAGTGGGGACTTCAGGAGTTGTACCTCAAAACTTGTTGACCTTGGTAGATCAGCCCCTGGCCATTATTTATTTCTCCAAGTGGTGGAGGTCCCTGGGAATGAATATAGCCCTTGTGGTTTATTGACCTTGTTTCCTGATATTGGTAAGGAACCTATTTAGTGCTGTATGCAGTGAGCTCCACTTTTCTAGTGTGCAGGCTGGTTTTATTTCAGAGCAGTGCACCTTGGACATTCCTTAGAGGACAGTGGTCCCGCCCTAGGATCCTCCCAAGGTGTAAGGGAGGCCCGTGAGCTGTTTCAAGAGCTGCCAGAGAGAGGCACGTCACCTTTGGGTTACGGACGTAGGTTTGCAGGTTTCAAGTTGGACAGCTCCCTTCCCGATGTTGCTGCTGAACTAGTTGTGCATGGCCTTGGACGGGTCAGGTATACCCCTCTCACCTATATTTCTTCATGTGTAAACCAGGAAGAATGAATACCTGCCTTTCAGCGTGGCAGAGCGTTTCATGCCATAACACGTATAAACTGGTTTATCGGTGTCACCGTTATTGACTTTTTATAAACTTTATTTTTTTATAAATTTTAAAAGGGACCTACTTTTTGTCGTAAAGAGCATGTGGATAATGGTTGTAATTCCACCAATCTCTCCTAGTCCTGATGGTCTTGAAGCACTCATCAGCAATCGTGCCTACTAGAGCAGTAATAAGTAAAGGAACACAGTAGTCAATACTGAGGAATAGTGCATTTTGTTGGGAAACTGAGGTGATACATAGACATTACTTAGTGCGCACCAAACAGCAAGGTGTGCAGTAAATTATTACTAATATTAGCTGAAAATATTTCAAAACCTGTGTGCTGTGGAGAAATAAGCCAAGGACTTAAGGCTTTTCCCAGTATCTCACTTAATTACCTTTAAACTTCTCTGGTCAGCCTCTTCTCTCCTCTGGGCCCCTGGGAGCATTCCAGGGACTGCCTTTAATGTGATTTTAGAGCATGGGAGTGTAGGCGAGCACTGCACAGTTACTCATGTTCGTGGGTTATAGAATTACTGATGGGGGAGAGCTCTGGAATTACTTGTGCCAAACCTAGCAGTGACAGTTGCACTAGGTAACTCCTTGGGGTGCGGAGGGAAGTGATGGGTAAGTCCTTCCTTAAGAATAGAAGGAATTGTCAGGCGTGGTGGCCCACGTCTATAATCCCAGCACTTTGGGAGGCCGAGGCAGACGGATCACCTGAGGTCAGGAGTTCGAGACCAGCCTGACCAACGTGGTGAAACATCATCTCTACTGAAAATACAAAAAGTAGCCAGACGTGGTGCTGTGCACCTGTATTCCGCTACTCAGGAGGCTGAGGCAGGAGAATCGCTTGAACCTGGGAGGTTGGAGGTTGCAGTGAGCTGAGATCGCACCACTGCACTCCAGACTGGGTGACAGAGCGAGACTCCATCTCAAAAAAAGGAAGTCTGAAAGCACCAGGGCAGCCTGTCTAGTCATAATCACTGGAAACCTAGGGTGTAGACAGGAAGAGGAGCTGGGAGATGGAGGCCCACAGCCTTCTCTGTGGACTGGGAGAGTGAATGACTCAAGTCTCTTGATTGATGACCTATATTTATTGAGTGCTCTTAATAGGCACTGGGAGCACCAACAGAACCGTCCAGGGAATCAGCTCAGGATGTGCTGTAGACTGCCAGGCGGATTGGCCGCCTTTTTGTTTTCGGAATGGAAGGATGTGTGCTGGGGGCTGCTTGGGTGTCCTCGGAGTGTGAGGCAGCAGTGAGTCCTGCCTCAAGGCCAATTCAGGGTTCCTTTAGGAATTAGCACCCGGCGTCACTGATGGGATAGAGCAGGGTCTGAAATGAACCCTCTTGAGTAAGGCAAGAGCCTTGATTTTGAATAGTTGACTGATACTTTCTGTTTACCCATTTGTGCAAATGTTCTGTATCCCGAGTGTGGTGCTGTGGGCAAGGGTGCACAGGGAGTCTCTTAGGGTTTGGTGAGGGTTACCAGCAGTCCAAACCATCAACTGCTGTGAGTGCAACAAAGGAGCACTGGCCGTTCCGTGGGAGCAGAGAACTGGGGATCTGGTCTCGTCTGGGTGTAATGACAGGCTTCCTAGAGGATGTGTTGAAGCTGGAAACCTGGATTTAGGGATGGAGGGAAGAGGCGCTTACCTAGGGGCCCCAGTGTGTTCCCATGGCCTGAAGTGGTGGCAGGGATATATGGAGCAGAAAGCAGAGGGCCAGTCGTGCAAGGCAAAGCTAGAGAGGCAGACTGGGCAGTCACATGGGACCCAACCCTCACCCTAACCCCATAGGTCACGAGTAGCCTCGTAGGATTTAGGCTGTCGGGTGGAGAGTGGTGGAGAACCACTGAAGGCTCTTTTGAGCTAGGGGTCGACCTATTGGGCGTGGGGTGTCTGTGTGAAAAGATCACCCTAGTCGAGGATGGAAAATGGATTGAAGAGGCTAGGAGGGAGCAGGGAAGGGATGCTGGTATATTATTTAACCTCAGGTGGTAGCTGCAGACAAGGAGAGAAGTGGCCAGCGTCCAGACATTCTGTGGGAGGCTGCTGGTGGATTCCAGGAGTGTCTGATCTAAGTGAAAACCTAGCCTGTCTCGTGTACCACAGGCGCAGATGGGCCTCCATTGTGATAATGGCTTGGCTGTCCACCAGCCTTGGACAGGGACCTGAGCTTGCAAGCTGTAACACATTGGGGGCTCCCCCTTGAGCAGCTGCCCATCCCTCCCCTCCTTGGTCTTCTGTTCCAGGTGGGCTTTTTGTGCTGCCTGCTGGAAAGCTGGAAGGCGTGTGTTGGGTGGCATCTCAGCCCCCTGCCGCACCAGCCTGACCAAGTCTCTCTCTTTGCGGGCAGGAGCAACTGTACAAGATGCAGCACTGGCAGCCGGTGTACCCCCCGCCATCCCATCCCCAGCGCACCTTTTACCCACACCACCCCCAGATGCTGGGCTTCGATCCCAGGTGGATGATGATGCCTTCCTACATGGACCCACGCATCACGCCCACTCGGACCCCAGTGGACTTCTACCCCTCCGCCCTGCATCCCTCAGGTAAGCACTGTGGTCTAGTGGTCCATACCTGTATCACCCAGGATAGCGCGGTGGTCAAGGGTGTCATCTCGAGTTAAACAGATACACCTGGATTTTGGTCTGGCTCTTTGTCATGTACACGACTGGTCTGAATTTCAAAGGACTCGCTGGCAAAGTATAGGTACAATAATAGTTCTGTCATAAAGATTTGTCGGGAAAGTCATGAAGATCGTGTATCATAAATTGCTTTAATTAATTTTAGATTTCTTCTGTGTCGTTTTGTCCTTCTCATTCTTAATGTTCTTTGTGCTGTCTCTTTTTTCCTTGATTAGTCTTTCCCCAAGGTTTGTCTAGTGCCTTTTTAAAATCAGTATTTGGGCTTCTTCATTACTGTATCTTATTTGGGTTTTATTTTAATAATGTCTGGTTTTTCTTTTGTTACTTCCTTTAAAATATCATACACTTAGTTTACTAATTTCTGGCTTTTAAGATTCTCTTTGTGGTACTAATTTCTAATGTAGTTGCTCTGTGGTCAGATAATATGGTCTGTGTGTTACAGAGCAGGGGTCAGCAAACTTCTACAAATGACCAGATAGTAAGTCTTTTAGGCCCTGATCAACTAGTCAGTTTTGGTGTTGTAGGATGAAAACGGCCATAAATGATAGTAAGTGAGTGAACATGGTTGTTTTTTCCATAAAATGTTACTTATAAAAACCTGCAGCAGGCTGAGTTTTGTTTAATGGCTGTAGTTTGCTGACCAACTCCTGACTTAGGTTGCTTGACATTTGTTGGGTTTTCTCTGTAACCTCTTCTGTGGTGATTCTTTTTTAACATTCTACATTTGCCTGAAAAGACTGTATTCTCTGGTTGGAAATAGTCCATTAAGTTGAGCATGCTAATTGTGTTGTGCAAATGTCTTCTTCATTGCAAGTTTTTATCCCTTTGACCAGTTACTAAAAGGTGTTTTAAAATGTCCCACTATGATTATGGATTTGTCAAATCTTCTTTGGGAGCCTGTCAATTTTTGCTGTGTCTATCTAGAGGCATACAGGTCTAGAATTTCTGTATCTTGTTCCTTCTATCCTTATGTAGTACCCTTGTTATCATTAATAGTGCTTTCTATCTTTATTGCCTACTTTGATAGCAATATAATAATTCTAGTTTTTTGTTGATAAGTATTTGAAGTCTTTTGTTCCAATTTTTACAGTTAGCTTCTTTGAGTCCTTATTTTTTGGGAGTGTATCTTTGTATCTACAAGATGTGTATGGCTTTACCACTCTGAAAGTCTATGACTTTTAATTGCAAAAGTTGGTCCTTTTAGATTTATTGGGATTACTTTTATTATTGTTAGAGACAGAATCTTGCTCTGTCGCACAGGTTGGAGTGCAACGGTGCAATTTCAACTCACTGCAACCTCTGCCTCCTGGGTTCAAGCGATTCTCCTGTATCAGCCTCCTGAGTAGCTGGAATTACAGGCACCTGCCACCATGCCTGGCTGATTTTTTTGTATTTTTAGTAGAGACGGAGTTTCACTATGTTGGCCAGGCTGGTCTCGAACTCGACTGACCTCAAGTGATCTGCCTGCCTTGGCCTCCCAAAGGGTTACAGGCATGAGCCACCACACCCAGCCTTATTGGGATTATTATATTTAGATTTTCCAACTATGATATTTCATGCATTCCATTCTTATTCTTCTCTTTCTATGCCTTTTCTTCTTATTCCTGCCTTTTCTCGGTCCTATTCTTGTTTTTCTTTTGCTTCTACATTTCATTTCTATATGTTAGTGGTTACATGAACATTCTAACATGCACCTTCAACTTAGCAAAGTATTTGGGGAGGTAGAAAGTCTTTGTCCCTTAAACCCCCATGAAAGTAGGCATGTGAGTCTGAATTCCTGGGAGGGGGACAGTGGTTTCCCTGCCCTGGTCCAGGCCAGACAGACCACCAGTCTGTTCCTGGTAGTAAAGTGCATATGTCTATCTAATGTGCCTTTTGAGGATGTGGCCCTTTTGGGTCTTTGTTTTAAACAGTGTCTCAGTTGTATCTCCCTGCCCTGTTTAGAAAGACTTCATCCCCTGTCCTGTGAGTGTTAAGGACCAAGCCTGTATCTGACAAATGTGCTTTTCTTGCCCGCTTCCTTGGACTTCACAGGTCTTTGAACCAGGCAAGGTGCATGCGTGTGCGCCTTCAGAGGTCCTCAGGTCAGGAAAGATTAAGAGCCCTGTGATGTGTAGGTGGGTGGGGTGCTGTATCCACGGGACAGTCAGGGTAACTGTTAACTTCTTTGGGCCTTTGGTTGAGCCTGAGATTGGAGCAGGGCTTTCTAAATGAGATGATGTAGATCAGTCTTTGCGTTCTTCAGGACTGATGAAGCCCATGATGCCCCAAGAGTCCCTCAGTGGGACAGGCTGTCGCTCTGAGGATCAGAACTGTGTGCCCCCACTCCAAGAAAGAAAAGTGACCCCCATCGATTCACCCCCTGTGTGGAGCCCAGAGGGCTACATGGCACTGCAGAGCAAGGGCTACCCGCTCACGCACCCGAAGTCGAGCGACACCTTGGCTATGGACATGCGTGTCAGGTGAGATGAAGCCTGGTCCTGCTGCCTTGCCACTGAAGGAAGGTTCCAGGTCCGAATCGAGAGGTCCTGGGATGAGCTACCATCCTCATCCACAGGGCCCTGGGATGAGCTACCATCCCAGGAGACACTGCCCACGGGAGACGTGCTCTTTTGAAGGGACTCCTGGTTCCTTTGGGGAAAGAGAGTGTGAGGAGGATTGCTTGAATGCTTTGTGCAAGAGGCTCTTCAGATGGCGAGACTTAAGGTGAAGGAGAAGTCCTGGGGTCATCAAACCCTGGGCACAGGGTAGGTGGGTGGGGGCTTTACAAGGCAGGTGGGGTCCAGAGCATGGGTCTTGGCTCTTCTGTGGAAGTAAACAGAGTTAGCCCTGCCACCCCCATGGCCCCAGACTCTTCACGGCCTCCCAGGCTCCAGCTTGCTCTTTGACCCGGAGGATTGCCCGGCTCCTCTGTCTCGAGGGGGCCCGCCGCGCCCACCCAGCGGCCACGACAGTCTTCACTCTCATGGACTCCAGGGGCCACCGACCAATTCATGGCCTGGCATTTCTGAGACGTGTTTAAAGATAGAGCAAATGTTGGTGCTTATGTGTTTTGTTTTTTTTTTCTAACTTTCTTTTTTAAAAGTTTTTTTTTTTCTTTTTTTTTTTTTTTTCTTTTTAAAACTAAGCTCTGTGTTCAGCGTGGAAACCAGGAACCAGGCTCCAATCACATTGACTGATTTTTCTGGTTCCTTTTCAGGAATGAAAGCTCTTTCTCTGCCTCACTCGGAAGGGCAGGGGGCGTAAGTGCCCAGCGCGATCTCTTTGAGGAGAGAGGGGAGGAGTACTTGAGTGCTTTTGACAAGAAGGCCCAAGCAGACTTTGACAACTGTATCTCTTCTCAAAGAATAGGCCAGGAGCTTTTGTTTCCACCCCAAGAAAATGTTCAGGAAGCGGGTGCTCCTGGGGTTCACACCCAAAACCTCAGGTGTTCCCCATTGGAGCCTGACTTTGTCCCAGATGAGAAAAAGCCAGAGTGTGGCAGCTGGGATGTTAGCCACCAGCCAGAGACCGCTGACACAGCCCATGGTGTCGAGCGGGAGACAGCCCGGGAGGGGACGGCCTTTAACATCTCCTGGGACAAGAATGGGAGCCCCAACAAACAGCCGTCCTCGGAGCCTGAATGGACTCCTGAGCCCCGGAGCTCCAGCAGCCAGCACCCGGAGCAGACGGGCAGGACCCGGAGGTCGGGACCCATCAAGAAACCAGTCCTGAAAGCCCTCAAGGTGGAAGACAAGGAGAAGGAGCTCGAGAAGATTAAGCAGGAGCTAGGGGAGGAGAGCACCCGGCTGGCCAAGGAGAAGGAGCAGAGCCCCACGGCCGAAAAGGACGAGGACGAAGAGAATGACGCCTCTCTGGCCAACTCCTCCACCGCCACTTTGGAGGACAAAGGCCCTGGCCATGCCACTTTTGGCCACGAGGCCACCAAATTTGAAGAGGAGGAGAAACCTGACAAGGCCTGGGAAACCAGACCCCCACGAGAGTCCAGCGATGTTCCCCCCACAAAGAGAAATAACTGGATCTTTATTGATGAGGAACAAGCCTTTGGGGTCAGAGGGCAGGCCCGGGGCCGGGGCCGTGGTTTCCGAGAGTTCACTTTTCGTGGTCGGCCTGCCGGCGGAAACGGGAGCAGCCTCTGCGGCGGGGGGGTCCTGGGTGCCCGCAGCATCTACTGCAGCAGCCAGCGCAGCGGCCGTGGCCGGGGCCTGCGAGAGTTTGCTCGGCCAGAGGACTGCCCCAGAGCCAAGCCCCGACGGAGAGTTGCCAGTGAGACCCATAGTGAGGGCTCAGAGTATGAAGAACTTCCCAAGCGCCGCCGGCAGAGGGGCTCCGAGAACGGGAATGAAAGCTCACTCCTGGAGAGGGAGGAGAGCACCTTGAAGAAAGGCGACTGCAGAGATTCTTGGCGGTCCAACAAGGTGTGCTCCGAGGACCATAGCGGTCTAGATGCCAAGAGCCGAGGCCCTCGGGCCTTTGGGCGAGCCCTCCCTCCCCGGCTGAGCAATTGCGGGTATGGACGGAGAACCTTCGTCTCCAAAGAGTCACCCCACTGGCAGAGCAAAAGTCCAGGCAGCCCTTGGCAGGAATATGGCCCTTCCGACACATGCGGATCCCGGCGATCTACAGACAGAGACTATGTCCCGGATTCCTACAGACACCCTGACACGTTTGGTGGCAGGGGCTTCGAGGACAGCCGCTCAGAGGACAAGAGGTCCTTCTTCCAAGATGACCACGTGGCGGATTCTGAAAATGCAGAGAACCGGCCCTTCAGGAGAAGGCGCCCCCCACGCCAAGATAAGCCGCCTCGCTTCCGGCGCCTCCGGCAAGAGCGGGAGTCCCTGGGCCTGTGGGGACCCGAGGAGGAGCCCCACCTGCTGGCAGGTCAGTGGCCAGGCAGACCCAAACTGTGTTCTGGGGACAGGAGTGGCACTGTGGGCCGCAGGTCCCCTGAGCTCTCCTACCAGAACTCCTCTGATCACGCCAATGAGGAGTGGGAGACGGCCTCCGAAAGCAGCGACTTCAGCGAGCGGCGGGAGCGGCGGGAAGGCCCCGGGTCTGAGCCTGACTCCCAGGTAGACGGTGGCCTGTCGGGGGCCAGTTTGGGTGAGAAGAAGGAGCTGGCCAAGAGGAGCTTCTCCAGTCAGAGACCACTGGTTGACAGACAGAGCCGAAAGCTGGAGCCGGGAGGGTTTGGGGAGAAGCCCGTTAGGCCAGGTGGTGGTGACACCTCCCCTCGCTATGAGAGCCAACAGAATGGGACGCCTTTGAAAGTCAAAAGGTAAAACCAGACACCATCTGGGCCCTTTTTGTTGTTGTGTTCTGTTTTCAGCAGCACTGAGTTCACGCATGCATGCCGCCGTGTGTCGGGGCTGGGGGCCTGCCCCCAGCCCGTCTGTGCGCGTCTTCATCACCTGCCCCCGCATTGCCTGTCTGCTTTTCTCGTGGTGGTGTTATTGTGACTAGAGCCCCCCCAACCCCCCTCCGCAGTGGTGCTCTGAGGCCGCTGTCCAGCACCTGGCCTGGGAGTCCAGGAATGTGTCCCTGCGTGTGTCCCTGGAGCCCCGCCGAGGGGCCGCTGCAACGAGGAGCATTGCCTGTGCACAGTGCCAGGTGCCGGTCAGTCCACCAGAGTCCTCTACTCCGGAGTTGCTGCCAGGCAGCATCCTAGGGGGCATCACTGCCCTCGTGGCTGCATGGAAGTGGCTCTTCCCAGGTGGTTCTGCTTCTCCACTGTGAGATGTGGCCCCACGGTGGGGTTGCCACCTCAGCATGGCAGGAGCCCAGCAAGTGCAGAGGGGAGCAGGCTGCACATGGTCTGGCGAGTACCTCTTCCACAGCCAGGGGCATTTGGGTGATGACCTCTGCTCAGGGACCAGGAGAGGGTCCCCTGCACAGTCTGGGTTGACTGACTGCACTTGGCTTGTAGCTCAGACAGGGAGGTACAGGGGCTGCTGAGGCCTTCCCTGTCTTCATACTGAGGAAGACGGCTTCACACCTCCACCCTCCTTAGAATTGAAGGCAGAGAAATTCCCAGAGGAGGAGCCACAGGGAACACTGACTCTTTCAGGTGGCGTCTAATCTAGCTTTCCAGGTGCTAGAGGCCGACCCTTGGCTTAACCTCAATTTTATGCCCCAAGGGCCCTCTGGCAGGGCAATCCTGGAGAGGAGCAGAAATACTGGCGGCTCCATTCCGAGCACATTCCCCTTGGCTCTCGCCCCCCTGCACTCCCTGAACATGGCATGTGGGAGAGCCCTGGGGAGCAGAAGGTGACAGAGCCACTTTCCCCAGGAGCAGGCAGAGCCAGCAGGGACAGCCTTCCACATGTGTTTGCACACGGACATGGATGCACTGTGGCCAGCCAGCCGCTCCTCCCCACCCGAGGAGTCAGCGAGAGGAAGTGGACCTAGATCAGGGTGCCAGGCTTGTGTGCAGGCAGTGTGCACGTGCATTGTTTTCCCTCCTTCCACAGCCTCTGGTTAACAAGATCCTCTTTCCCTTACAGATCCCCAGACGAGGCCTTGCCTGGAGGTCTTAGTGGCTGCAACAGTGGGAGTGGCCACTCCCCCTATGCCCTGGAGCGGGCAGCCCATGCCAATGCTGACCTTCCCGAAGCCTCCAGTAAGAAGGCAGAGAAGGAGGCCAAGTTGGCTGCTCCGAGGGCAGGTGAACAGGGAGAGGCCATGAAACAGTTTGACCTGAACTATGGAAGTAAGTCGTCCTCACATCTTCAGGGGAAAGAACTCAGGTGGAACCAGGGGCCGGGCAGTCCTCGGGCCTCCCGAGTTTGCCTTTGCACTGAGTACCGTAGCTTTCGGGAACAGCTCGCCAGGCACTGGGCTGGATTCTGGGGCTGTAGAGTTGAGCAGAGTAGGTGGGATTCCCACGGGTGTTGCTCACAGCCTGTTGAATCCCCGTGACACCCTGTGGCTTCTGCGTTTTAAAGAGAGGAAGCCTGGGGCCTAGAGGTGTTCGGTGGTGTGTCCAAGGTCGCAGAGCTGGGGTTTAAGCCCTTTCTGTGTTCTCTCAGTCGTGCCCTTGGACCTCTTTGGTTTGGGATAACAACGTTTTAGATGAGAGGTGGCCTGAGAAAGGTGCAGAAGTCCTGTCCAGGTTTCTGTTGAGCTTGACGCTAGATCTTAGGGGCCTGTTGAATTGGGTTGTTCTTGCCTCCTGGTGAATGGAAATACTGTTCCTTCTCGTGAAATCTTGGTTCAGGTGCCATCATCGAAAATTGCGGGTCCAGTCCCGGGGAGGAGAGTGAGGTGGGTTCTATGGTGGGCGAAGGCTTCATCGAAGTCCTGACCAAGAAGCAGCGCCGCCTGCTGGAGGAAGAGAGAAGAAAGAAGGAGCAGGCCGTGCAGGTGAGGGGTTGGGGGCGGGGCATGGGGCGGGAGGGCAGGCTGGCAGATGCCCAGGAAACCCAGAGCCAGAGAGTAAGGGAGTTCTCGGTCAAGCTCAAGGTGGCAGAGAGGAAGACAGTATTTAGCAAGCACACATTGTCTCCCCACGCCTGCTATTACCAAGGCCCTTCTATCAAAGTAGTACTAGGTGGTGGCATCACTGTTATGCAGAGGAAGAAACTGAGTCTTGAAGAGGGTGACTTGTCTAGGGTGATAATAGTGGAAACTTGTCCAAGCCAGGATGCAGACCTCTGTCAGCTCCCGGCTCCTCCTCCCTCCCCACTCCTCATTCCTGAGTGGAATGAGATTTGTCTCCCTGAAGTCACGTGGATCATGAACCCTGTACTAAAATGGAGTCAGGGCTGGACCCACACACAGGTCACGGTCCATTGGCCTTTCAGGTCTTTCCTGGGGGGTGCTTTGCTTGGCATCGCAGTTCTGCTTGAGGTTTTGGGAGACGAGCATCCCACACGTCTCTGGAGCATTTTCAGGTGGTGTGATTCTAGTACCTGGGACACTTATCCTGGGGAGAATTTATCAGTCTTTGTGCCTTAAGCGAGACTACAGCACCCTTTCTTCCCCTCAGGTGCCTGTCAAGGGTCGAGGCCTTTCCTCCCGTATTCCTCCTCGATTTGCGAAAAAGCAGAACAACTTATGTCTGGAGCAAGGTGACGTGGCCGTGCCCGGCAGCAGCCTGGGCACTGAGATCTGGGAGAGCAGCAGCCAGGGTGAGAGTTGAGGGATGTGACCCCAGCTGTGGTGTCCAGGGTCACATCACGGACCGGGTTTGCTGCTTGGGGAGGATCCTGCTTTTGAGCTATGAATATAGATGGAGTAGTGCTTGTTTGCTGGGTTCCGCTGCTGAGCTAGTGCCAAATGCCATCTGAGCGATTTGCTGCTGCAGCCCCCAAACAGATACACAATTTTCCTTGCCTAAAATTTGGTAGAAGAGCAGAGCATTCATTACGTCCAGCAGTGTGGAAAAGGATGGCCCCTGGAGCTGAGATCGCGCACTAGTGGGCCTGGCCTTCTTTGTTGGTAGTCATTTTCTCCCACTAACTTACGGAAGAGAAGCAAGTGACTGAGAGACCAGCAGCAAGAGTTCAGGAGCTCTCTTCTGTGCTGTGCACCATTTCTTAACATGAGGAAGGCTCTGGAAACTCCTTCCTGAATGCTCTTCTGGAAAGGCAAACTGAGACCAGAAGAGGGTGTACGTTAGTTTTTAGAAAATTTGTTGCCCTGAAAACTTTTTTTTTTTTAAATTCTATATCAAATGTAATTTTTCTGGGTATTTTTCCTTGTAAAATAAAAAGCTATTTTCAAAGAATAGGTTATTCTTGAGGGTTACATGAGTCAGGAGCCTGCACTGTTAGCCCAGTGGGTGCATAGATGAATAAAGTAAGGACATTTGACATTTCATAGCTCGGGCCCATGAGAGGATCTTGGAGAGGTCACCTAGTGCCAGCTCAGTTTTCTACAAAGCAGCTGAGGCTTTAGAGGGAAGAGACTTGACTCAGGGGACTCCAGGGTCGTAGGACAAGCACCCGAGACACTGAGTTCTGGGCCTTGGTTCTTTCACTGTTTCCACATAGCTTGTCCTCATGTGCTCGGTGAAAACGTGAAAACTTTGGTTTTATAAACTACAAAATAATATTCGACATGCCCAGCTTTGATGGAAAGGGAGCACAATCCTTTGATAAAACATCAATAACGCTACATTTGGTAGTGACTGAGTGACAGGTGTCATAGTATTGATGCCCAAAAATGCCCAGGCGCCAGATTGGTTGAGCTGCCAGATGTGACTCTCAGGTGTGAGTCATCATCCCCTTTTGTCAGATCTTTTCCTCCAGAATTCTGCAGGGTCTCATTGGTTCCTCAGACCAGGGGTTGTGTCCAAGGATGGCTTCAGAGAGCCCTTGGATATTAAAATAGCATGTGAATGGCTCAAGCCTGTAATCCCAGCACTTTGGGAGGCCGAGACGGGCGGATCACGAGGTCAGGAGATCGAGACCATCCTGGCTAACACGGTGAAACCCCGTCTCTACTAAAAATACAAGAAAATTAGCCGGGCGAGGTGGCGGGCGCCTGTAGTCCCAGCTACTCGGGAGGCTGAGGCAGGAGAATGGCGTGAACCCGGGGGGGCGGAGCTTGCAGTGAGCCGAGATGGCGCCACTGCACTCCAGCCTGGGGCACAGAGCAAGACTCCGTCTCAAAAAAAATAAAATAAAATAAAATAAAATAGCATGTGAAAAGATTTTTGTTTTGTTTTGTTTTGTTTTGTTTTTAAGATGGGGTCTCACTATGTTGCTCAGGCTGGACTTGAACCTCTGAGTTCAAGCAATCCTTCTGTCTCAGTCTCCTGAGTAGCTGGGATTGCGGATATGTGCCCCCACCCCCTGCTAGCATGTCAACTTTTGCATGCATATCTATTTTTTTGGGCTCAGGATCCAGGGCTACTCAAGAAGTGGTCTGTGAGCTTAAAAAATTTTAGTAATACCCACTTGGATCTTTCAGAGACTCTGTAGAAGCCACCAACTTTGGCCAGGAGTGGTGGCTCACACCTATAATCCCAGCACTTTGGGAGGCCAAGGCGTGAGGATCACTTGAGATCAGGAGTTCAAGACTAGCAACAGAGTGAGACCCTGTCTCTGTTGTTTAAAAAAAGAGAAAGAAAGCCAGGGGCGTTGGCTCACGCCTGTAATCCCAGCACTTTGGGAGGCCGAGGCAGGCAGATCACGAGGTCAGGAGATAGAGACCATCCTGGTTAACACAGTGAAATCCCGTCTCTACTAAAAATACAAAAATAAAAATAAAAATTAACCGGGCGTGGTGGCGGGCGACTGTAGTCCCAGCTACTCGGGAGGCTGAGGCAGGAGAATCGTGTGAACCTGGAGGGCAGAGCTTGCAGTGAGCGGAGATGTGCCACTGCACTCCAGCCGGGGCGACAGAGCGAGACTCCGTCTCAGAAAGTAGAAAGAAAGAAATATATATTTTTAAATTAAAAAAAAAAGAAGCTACCAACTTTTAGAAATAATGTAAGTGAAAGGAAGTGTGAGCGTAGCAGAAATAGCAACAGAGAATCCAGATGGGCAGGAGTGAGGGCTCTGCCCTACTCACCCTCTCCCGTAATGAGTGAGATGCTGAGAAACATGTTGGGTGAGGATGTGGAAAGTTGGGTAAGACTGTCAGACCAGCTCTTCCACGTCACAGCTGTTCACTGGGTGTCACAGGTAGGGGGCTGGGGTCAGGGGTGCAGGGGAGGCAGGGGAGTTGGATTTCTGCAAGCCGTGCCTATGCTTGTTCTTTAAGAGCTCATAAACTTGTGTTTCTCTAGACGGGTTGCTCTTTGATGCCCTGACTGTCTCCCTCCCCTGGCAGCTCTCCCTGTGCAGGCCCCAGCCAACGACTCCTGGAGGAAAGCCGTCACTGCCTTCAGCAGCACCGAGACTGGCTCCGCGGAGGTGAGTGTGGCCGCTGCCCGCATGCTGCTCCTGGGATGAGTGTGAGCTCACCATCCAGACAGCCGGCCTGCCATGGATCTGTGCATCCAACCCAACCAAGCCCCTGCCACCACAGCTGAGCTTGGAATTAGGTTGTTTCCATGGGGCCAAGCTCATCAGTGTTTTTCCATCTTGATTTCTGGCCTGTACATGGGGTGTGCATGAGCAGGAGAAAGAGAAAAGGGGTAACAAGGGAGGACCCAACGCTAGGTGGGTAGAGGGATTAAGGACCGCCTCTGAACTGGCGTCAGCAGCCATGTAGTCTGGTGTGGGTCACAAGTAAGATGGGTATGGCAGCCTCGGTCTGGGGCCTGCAGAAGATTCTGTGGTCACAAGCTCTATCGGGGTTGGTGTGTTTGGCCACATGTAAGTTGTCAGGCATCCTTAGCAGGGCAGGATCAAGATCAGGACCAGACTTGGCAAGGGGCATGCAGCTGGTGTAGACAAGTCTGTGTGCCACACACAGTTTTACTCTCTGGATAATCGAGTTGGGAGTTCGAGGCTATAACCCATTTTGTGCTCTGCACAGCAGGGTTTTAAGAGCAGCCAGGGAGATAGTGGCGTTGACTTGAGCGCCGAGTCTCGGGAGTCGTCTGCGACCTCCTCACAGCGCAGCTCCCCGTATGGGACTCTGAAGCCAGAGGAGATGAGCGGGCCTGGCCTGGCGGAACCCAAGGTTGACAGCCACAAGGAGCAGGCCCCAAAGCCATCTGAGCAGAAGGTAACCTGGACGTTCCAGTCACAGTGGCCAGGGCCTGGGCGGAAGGGGCCATCGTCTCGTCGTCTTCCTCAATTCCTGTGACAGTAGAAGCTGGAGAGAGTGGTCATTCCAGTCTGTGTCTCCACCTCTCTGCTTTTTTATCAAGGATTCAGAACAAGGCTCTGGACAGAGCAAGGAGCACAGACCAGGACCCATCGGCAACGAGCGTTCTCTGAAAAACAGGAAGGGCTCAGAGGGGGCCGAGCGGCTGCAAGGGACTGTGGTCCCACCTGTTAACGGGGTAGAGATTCACGTGGACTCCGTGCTGCCTGTGCCACCCATTGAATTTGGAGTCAATCCAAAAGTGAGGCTTTGTTTTCTTGCTTGCTTTTTTTACTTTTTATTTTTGGTACTTGGAGAGGTTGGGGGCTCAGACAGGATTATCTCCTAGAAAGAATAGAAGGACGGGAGCCAAGCACTCTTCCAGCGGCTAGAGTGTTGGTATGGAGTCCTGCACGTGGCTAGTGCTCTGTTGAGTTGCTTTAAAGATTGCTTCACTGACACCAGACAGGCCAGCGATCTTCCCTGTTTCTGTCAGGCCACCCAAGGGACAGGGGGAAAGGAGTGGAGCTGGCGTGCTGTCTCCTGTGCCATGGGAAGCCTCTGGCCATCTCGCTCACGTGTGGCTCCAGTGAATGCTGCTCAGTGGAGTTTTTGAGTCACGGAAACTGCATCACGTTAATGTGTGCCTCTGGGGAATGGAGAGCCAGGAGGATCTCAGTGGGCTGTGTGGCTTTTTTTTTTTTTTTTTTTCTCTCCAGGACTCCGATTTCAGCTTGCCGCCTGGTTCTGCCTCTGGTCCTGCTGGGAGTCCGGTTGTTAAACTTCAGGATGCCTTGGCCAGTAATGTAAGTCCACACTCCGCTTCTGGCTGCACTCACTGCTTGGGGCTGGCAGGCCCTGGGCGAAGGAGACAGCACACGTATTTCAGGTGACCTGGGCTGGCACGTGACTCAGTTGCTAGCAGCTCCATGTCCTTAAAAGGTGCTTAAATGTTCCTGCCCAGGTTTTGTGACCTTCCAATGGGGATCGTAGAGTTCCTAAGGTCTGGTTTATTTGGCTCTCTTTGGTTCCATTGTCTCCTCTGTGCCAGGTGCGAGCCCATACTCACGCTGCCTTTTCCGTGGCCAGGGGTGAGGGGCACACAGATCGAGTAGGAGAGCCCTCCTCAGGAGGCCCCACCTCACCATCCGAGGGTCCCTGCCACCTGCGATCTGTTGTGGTCCGGAAGCCCTCCTGGCGCTCCGCCGTGGGCTCAGGAGCTGGCAGCTGCGTCTGTTGTGGCCACTCGGGGCTGTGGCCAAGGCTGCCGCAGTGACGTCTGGTTCACTGCTCTGTCCTCACCACCTGCAGGGGTTGGTGCTAGTGCATATGTTGAATGAATGAGTATCATTTGGGCAGCATTTCCCAGAGGATTCCAAGGAATGTGAGTGCTGTACAATATTCACAGGTGTTGAATGAAAAAAAATGTGGAAGTGCTGGACTCTACAAGGTTCTGTACTCTGACAGTCTACAGTCCCTATCATGTGTGGATGGACACCGGGGATCTGCAGGAGGCGGGGGGCACTGTTGCATTTTCAACCTGTTACCAGAGCCCTCTTTCACTGTTTGCTGAGGGGCACAGCCTTCCCTGTCTGGCCCAAGGCATCTGCAGGCCAGGTGACAGGTGCCTTCTGAACCAGGTGCTTGCGTGCAGGCAGCCAGTCCATATTTATGCTGCTGGGACATGGCTCTCCCTGTCTGGAGGGCACCATGGAGTGTGGATATGGGGGTGGCTCTCTGCAGACTTGTGTGGAGGAAACTGATGGAGGCAGCCATCTCAAGGAGATCAGTTGTGGTCTTGGCTGCCATCAGTTTCATCTGGGTGGTCTTGGGTACATGTGGCCAATACTGAAGATGCATTTGGACAATTCATAGATGCTGCTGGGCACTGTAGGTGCTTTTGGGCAAAGCCACAGATGGGTTTGGGCAAGTCATAGATGGCATTTGGACGAGCCTTGAGTGTGTTCAGGCGAGCCATGGGTGGGTTTGGGCAAAGCCGTCTCTGTGCCTGTTTGTGTTCCATGGTTTCTTTTTCCTCCTCTCCAGGCAGGGTTAACACAGAGTATCCCCATCCTGCGGCGGGACCATCACATCCAGAGGGCCATTGGTCTCTCCCCAATGTCCTTCCCCACCGCCGACCTTACTCTGAAGGTAACACCAGCCCTGAGCTGGGCGAGGGCCCACCCAGTACCTTAGCTTACAAAGAGGCAGAAGGGAGGAGTCCCCGAACCCCCGAAAGCTTAGATCGGTGCTGCCCACTGCCATCGTGATAGTAATTTTCATCCCTCCCCCACCCTTGCTTCTGAAGATGGAGTCTGCGCGCAAGGCTTGGGAAAACTCCCCCAGTTTGCCGGAGCAGAGCTCTCCAGGCGGCGCTGGCTCAGGCATCCAGCCTCCATCCTCTGTGGGTGCCTCCAGCGGGGTCAACTACAGCTCCTTCGGTGGAGTGTCCATGCCACCCATGCCTGTGGCCTCTGTAGCACCTTCTGCTTCTATGCCAGGTATCTCATCCCCCTGAGCCAGGCCTTGGGGTCCTTCTCCATTTATTATCAAGAGAAACGGATTAACAGCCCCGAACACCACCTCCTGGCCTTGTCTTAAGTAGCAGGTAGAAGTAGCAACTTGTTTTTAGGCCGAGTGGCCATAGCTCCCCTGTGCTGCAGGTAATGTGCACGTTCTGCTTCCCTGTGCTGGGAAACGGAACTGGGGGACGACAGCGAGGCACTCCTGCCTACTGGTGAGAGGAGCGGGCAAAGGCTTGGCTTTGAGTCAGACGTGGGTTACGTGCTGGAGCTGTGCTGCCTCGGCTGGTGATCAGCTCTCGCTGAGCCACAGCGTCCTCCTCTCTTAAATGAAACGGGGGCCATGACATTGCTCCATGAGGTGGCCACACCCGTGAAGCCAGGTCTTACCTGGAAAGGGCTTTGTATCAACAGAGCCCTTAGTCACTGGCAGCTGTTTTTGTCCTGACTGCTACCATCCTTGTCATGTGTTGATGCCCCCAAGGGAAAGCGTGGGGGTTTTGAGGGCCCAGCTGCCAGTCTCAGTGATGTAATCCCAATAGATCCTTCTGACCCTCCACTGTGGACTCAATAGCAGGGAGATGAAGAGGACAGTGACTGAGAGACCAAGGCAGCCCTGGTTAAAGTAGAATGTCCCTTCGAGTGTCTGGGGCAGTTGATGGGTGGGAGGTGGGAAGGGTAGGCCAGAGCCCACCTGCCTCCTCCCACCTCCTAGGTCTGACGCTGCATCCTCCCTGGGTTCCCTGAGGTGTGTGCCAGGCGTGTTGTGAGCAGGCGCGTGCTTCAGGCACACAGGGAACCAAGCAGCCTCTGTACACACGCCCTTGTCCGTCCGCACTGACTCTCCTGGGTAGAGCAGACCTGTAGACTTGTCGTCCTCAGGGACATTCAGAAGTAGTGAGGCTTGATCTTCTTCTACCTCCCTTCTGCCGCTCTGTTTCCAGGCAGCCACCTCCCGCCCCTGTACCTGGATGGCCATGTGTTTGCAAGTCAGCCCCGGCTCGTTCCTCAAACGATACCTCAGCAGCAGAGTTACCAACAGGTGACAGCAGCCAGCCAGGTGGCCTGGCTGGGGGTGGTGGGGAGGAGCCAGCGCAAGGTGAAATTGGCTTGCTCTATCTGCTCATTGTCTGTCTGGTTTTCCGTCCCCCTCACATGTGGTGACCAGCACCTGGCCCTCCAGGAGACATGTGTTAAGTGAATAAACAAGAGACAGGGAAGAGGAGTGGAGTTGGCTGCTCCAGACTCTGCTTAGTTTTCCTTTCTCAAAGTTCTCCCTCCTGTGTCCTAGCTGGGGAATTAGCTAAAATGGAATTTTCTTTGGTGATCAGGTATCCTTCTGATGAAGAGAAGAAAGGCCTAAACTCCCAGGCATGGATGCATTAGAAAGAGGTAGTCTTAGAAATGAGCAGGCGTTGGTTATTTATGCAGGACTGGCATACTTTCTGTGCTGCCAAGGAGTGATGTTTGGAAGTCTCCCCTCTAACGCTGGTGCTGGGTCTTTGGGATGGTTCAGCCGCCCCTCGACCCATGTGCCTGCCCAGCCACGACAGTGGACTTCCAGGCAGAATCTGCTCCGAGCGCAGGCTTGCTGATGGAGGACGTGGTCTCTGCTGACCTCTTTAAAAACATGTTCTTAACTGCTGTATTGTTTGGTTTTCAAGATTTTGGTTCTTGCATAACTGGGTCAGACTGCATGTATCTTTGTTTTTGTACATCGTTAAATTCAGCGTTATGTTTCTGGGACTCACCGCTGTTGATGTATGTGCTAGAATCCATTTTTGTTGCCGTATAGAATTCCAGGGTAGGGAAATGCTGCGGTTTGGGGCTGCTACCAGTTTTTCATTATAGGCTTTATCCCAATAGCAAGGGAAGCCCAGGAATGACATGCTGGCATTTGAATTTTGGGCAGTGTTCCAGCAGCCATGTGGAGAGGGGCAGGGGAGGTGGGAGGGGAGGAATCACCTGGATGGGCCTTGCGGTTACCTCCACCACCCCGTTTTCCCGTTCACAGGCCGCCGCTGCCCAGCAGATCCCTATCTCCCTTCACACATCTCTGCAGGCACAAGCTCAGCTTGGACTGAGGGGTGGGCTTCCTGTGTCCCAGTCCCAGGAGATCTTCAGCTCCTTACAGCCCTTCAGGTGAGCTCAGGTACCAGCTTGTGGAGCTGGCAGCTCACAGCCAGGGCCTCAGCCCTGTGTGCAGCCTTTGTGCTGTGGCTGTTTGGTGCTTCTCTGCTTTGGGGCAGCGGGGTGGGGAGGGGTGGGGCTTTGCTCTGGATCACTCTTCAGTCCATTGTTAACTGTGCTCTAGGAGAGGCCTGGGGTGAGCTGATACGTGGCAGGCCTTGTTTTGCTTTTCCATGTCATCTTGCCTCCTTCCCTTGCTCCTTCCTCCTTCTCTCCCCTTGACTCCCTGCCTCCTCCCCACCGCGGGCTGCTCCGTCAGTGTGGCTGCCAGTCATTGTGGCTGATGTCCTGTGCCTCGTACAGCCTGGATGTGTTCACTTGTTTAATCCAGCAGCATCAGCGCCATCTAAGAGCTTGTTCTCCGGCCCCATCCTGGACCCTCTGAGTCGCGCTCTGGGAGTGGGGCCGGGGATCTGTGTTTTAGCAAGCTCTCTGGGGGATCTCTGAGGGGTGGGACGAGTTCCACAGCTGGACTCATCGACCTGATCCTGACCATCTGTCTGGCTTTTGCAGATCTCAGGTGTACATGCACCCCAGCCTGTCACCGCCCAGCACCATGATCCTCTCTGGGGGCACAGCCTTGAAGCCTCCGTACTCTGCGTTCCCAGGCATGCAGCCCTTGGAGATGGTGAAGCCGCAGTCTGGCTCACCCTACCAGCCCATGAGCGGGAACCAAGCCCTGGTCTATGAGGGCCAGCTCGGCCAGGCTGCAGGCCTGGGTGCCTCCCAGATGTTGGACTCCCAGCTCCCACAGGTCAGGAATTCAGTCACTCCACCCAAAGCCCTAGGCTTCTTTCCTTCACGACCTTGCCTTTTCTTTCCGCCCGCCTCAGTGTGTGCCGGCCTATCATGCTGTTCGTTGGTAGCCACCGTGCCCGCTCCTCAGTGTGCAGGAAATCAGCCTCTTCTGAGTAGCCCCATCACCTTTTTTTTTCTTTTGGACAGAGTCTGTCACCTAGGCTGGAGTGCAGTGGTATCATCTCGGCTCACTACAACCTCTGCCTCCCGCATTCAAGCGATGCTTCTTCCTCATCCTCCTGAGTAGCTGGGACTACAAGCGTGTGCCACCGCGCCTGGCTAATTTTTGTATTAGTAGAGATGGGGTTTCACCATGTTGGCCAGGCTGGTCTCGAACTCCTGACCTCAAGTGATCTGCCCGCCTTGGCCTCCCAAAGGGCTGGGATTACAGGCGTGAGCCACCACCCCTGGCCCCTCATCCACCTCTTTATTCTCAAGACTTGGCTGTGCCCTAAGCACTGCCTGCTCCTGCAGCCCCCAGATGGGGGCTCCTTCCTTTCTCCCTGCCCTTGTGCAGTAGGGTGTGGAATGGGGTAGGAGTCCTGTTTGCATAGTTGTTGATGTTTCTAGACGCCTTCCTTCCTCCCTGAAACCCCAGCTTTGAAGCTCACACCATAGACTGTGCCTGACAAGCCCTCCACGCTGCTATGGTGCCGTCACCACATCCAGCGTCTGCTGTGAAATCTTCCTCTCCGTCGACCTGTGGGCAGCATTTGGCACCTTTGAGGGTCACCCTCCTTGTCTGGCCTGGCTTTCAGTCTGTCTCCACTCTCCTGTTCCAGTTCCTAGTGGTTTTGATGTCTGCAGAGATGACCCTGGGTCTTTGTGCCATGGACCCTGTCCATGCAGTTTGTACCCTCCTCACCACTGGTGCCCTTGTTCACTTGGGCCCCTGCTCTGTGCAGTCCTCTCTAGGCTTGGCCGCTCCCAGTATTTGTGGCTCTCGCATAATCTCAACTTTCAGCGTCCCTCTCAGTTGTCACCTCTGGCGTTTTCAACTCCCTCTAGTGACCCAACTCGAAAATTCTTTTTTTTTTTTTGAGATGGAGTTTCACTCTATCACCCAGACTAGAGTGCAGTGGTTGGCACAGTCTCGGCTCACTGCAACCTCTGTCTCCTGGGTTCAAGCGATTCTCGTGCCTCAGCCTCCCGAGTAGCTGAGATTACAGGCGCCTACCACCCACCGGCTAATTTTTGTATATTTAGTAGAGATGGGATTTCACCATGTCAGCGATGTTAGTCTCGAACTCCTGACCTCAAGTGATCCACCCACCTTAGCCTCTCAAAGTGCTGGGATTACAGGTGTGAGCCACCACGCCCAGTCTCCACCACCCACGTTTTTGTCATTCTCCCACTTGGCTTGGCTTTTTCCTCCCCATCAGCAGATCCGTTGAGCCACATGGCCTTTGCATTTCATCGAAGCTGTGGCTCTGAGTCAACCACCACCCTCCGAGCAGCTTTTCAGACTTGCATCTTGCCCCTCGCTGCCTCCCATCCGTGATCTCCCTTTCTGTGTCACCCAGGAAACAGAAGCAGTGACAGTCTCCAAGCCCCTGTGGCCACATCCCTGCCTGGGTGCTGCCTGTGCCCCTGGGGGGCCCCACCCCAGCAAGTCTCCTTCCCTTTCATGCATCGGATGGCCCTTCCTGTCAGTACACAGACGAGTCGCAGTGCTGACCCCGTAATCCCGGCCCCCACAGCCCTTGAAGCACTGTCTTCACCCAGTTACCAGGCCGTCACTCCTGGCTTTCCTGCTGCCTCAGACTTCCTCCTCAGTCTCCTTTGCTGTCCCCTCTCCTTCCCAGTCCGTAACAGTTGGCATGCCCCTGGGCCCTGCTTTGGGCGTCTTTTAAGAGTCATGGCTCTAAATTCCTCCATCTTCTCCTCACTCCCAAATGGACATCTTCAGCTCAGATCTGTCCCTGGAATTGAATGTGAAATCCAATGGACTTTCCAGCACCTCTCCTGTGGTCTCATGACATCTCAAGACTCATCATATCCAAAACTCGATTTTCCTCCCCGCCCTTCTGCTTGTCCAGTCCATGTCCTCTTTGGCTCCCTGCTCCCCTCACCTCACCCGACCCTTCAGCGGGCCTGTCGGCTCTGGCTTTAAAAGCATTCAGAATCCAGCTGTGTCTCATCCCCTCCACCCCCGCTCCACGCTGTCCAGCTCCTGTGGGGGCTCCTACCTGGCCTCCCTGCAAGTCAGATCATACCCCAAGTCAGCACTCTAAATGGCAGCATGTCCCCATCATCTTCATCCTGCACCATGTTGGTGCTCCAAGGAGGAGCATGGTGTTTCGCGGCTCTGGCCACTACACGTCTCAGTGATGTAATTCCAATAGATCCTTCTGACCCTCCACTGTGGACTCAATAGCAGGGAGATGAAGAGGACAGTGACTGAGAGACCAAACGTGGCCCAGCCCTGCTACCCCATTGTGTCCCCCTGTCCTTAAGAGTCTCCAGGCCCACATCTCCCCCTCGCCTATCTTGTTCTAGTTAGGCCCTGCAGCCACCCTGTTCTCCTGTCACAGCATGCTTCAAAGAACCCCCACAGCCCAGAATCCAGCCCAGTCTTGTTTTTACCACCACCTGATGCAAAACAGTGAGAGTCTTAAATGTTTGTGCTGTACAGAGGAATGCAGAGATACACGTCTGGTGCAGCTTTCATCTTTTGGGATTTGGCTTGGCCATTACTTCTGACTTCCCTCACTCATCCTCTCCTTGCCCACCCCGCCCTGTGTGCACCCACAGCTCTGGTGTGCACACACAGATCCTGTGCCACTTTGCACCCTGAGTGTCCTGCAGCTGTGTCCAGCGTGTGACATGCCACCCTGGCAGTGTGCAGGCCCATGTCGGACAGGGCCCTGCCGCTTCCCCAGCACCTCGTATGCTTTTAGTAAGCACTTGCTGGACAAAGGCAGAAAGGGCTGAAGATAGACGCAGCCCTTAGCAGAGATGTGGATGAGACACACTTAACGCTGTTAGCTCCTGTGCCTGCAGCCAGCTTCGTCTTGCCCGTTTTCTCACCACCTACTCCATTCCAGCAAGAAGACTTGCCCCTGCCATTGAAGGTGTGAAATCCTGGGCGATGTCTCCTGTGCTACAGTAGAAATCAGAGCGTGTCCTGCTGTGTGCAGGCTTTGCTTTAGTTCTTCTGAAGTGTATGAATTTGAAGTACATGTGCAGTCGCTCTTTGGTGCGTGTTTGGGGTTTCTCCATAGCATCGGTCGGTCCCCCTCCTGACTGTCGTTGTCACCCAACAGCTGACCATGCCACTGCCTCGGTACGGCTCGGGGCAGCAGCCGCTGATCCTGCCCCAGTCCATTCAGCTGCCGCCTGGGCAGAGCCTCTCTGTTGGGGCCCCCCGAAGGATTCCTCCGCCCGGGTCCCAGCCGCCAGTCCTGAACACCAGCAGAGAGGTAAGGGGACCCATCTGCCTCTGACCCTAGGGAGGGGGCCTTGTGTCACCAACCTTTTCTAGCAAGCTAAGTACCCCTGTGTGGTAGAAAGAGCCAGTGGCCTGGGTGTGTGCAGGACTGTCAGGGCAGAAAGGAAGGTGACCGTGTGTGGGGCCAGCCCACAGGCAGGTCCTGGGGACTCTGAAGTTGTCGACGGCTGAGGGCCAGGAACCAGCATTCCTCCCCAGCTCCCCAGGAGGCCCTGCTATGGACGGCCATGCTTCATTGGCTCTCCCACCTCACTTTAAAAAGAACAAAATATTGTGATGGTTCTTGCTTTCTAAGAAGCAGCCCTCTTGAGTCTGGCTTGGAGGGGAGGGGCTTGCAGATTCCTCCAGAACAGGGGTGCCCAGCCCCTGGGCTGCAGAGCTGTCCTGGTCTGTGGGAGAATTGTCTTCCATGAAAGTGGGCCCTGGTGCCAAAAACCACTGCTCTAGAAGGTGCCTCCCTGGGAATTCGCACGGCCCTCACCGCCTCTGCCCTGGGTGGTTCAGTGAGTCTGTGTGGTCCAGCTGTGTCCAGGGCCTCAGATGACAACTTGTTGCTGCTTGGTCTCTCTAGCCCTCTCAGATGGAGATGAAAGGCTTCCACTTTGCCGACAGTAAACAGAATGTCCCTTCAGGAGGCCCCGTGCCATCGCCACAGACCTACAGGTAAAACCACTCCCTGGGGACTGTGTGCTATGAGCTGAGCAGTTGCCAGAGCCGTGGCCCGGTGGCTCAGAAGAATCTGTGGGCCTGGGGAGAGCCACCAGAGACCTGGTCCCTCTATGGGCCACGTGTCACTGTGGTGGTTCGGCACGGGGCTGCACTTGTGTTGCAGTTAAACGTGGGGGAGTGAGGAATCAGGAGAGTGGTTTTGGCTTTAATCATTATAATAAATAAGATGCTCTGGATTGGGGAGCTTCCTGGAAAGGTAGGAAAAGGAACGGCTGACATTTAGTAGGCGTCAGGACTGACGTGACTTCCCATCAGATCCGAAAACAGGACCCACTGGCCACAGGGCTGCATCCTGGCAAGGGGAGAAGCATGGCCTTTCCCAGCGTCTCTTTCCTCGGACTTGCCCTATGACCCCTGCCAGGGGACTTTTTATTGCTGGGCTTGTGGGGCCATTCCTTCCACACTACAAACCAGCACCCTCTTTTTGCTTCCTTTGTGTCTGTCTCCACCTCCAGCAACTGTCTCAGGGTCCCCTTAGCTGGATACTCAGGTGGCTCTGTCGGATGCCGGCGAGAGCTTCTGGTCCACTGCCTTTTCTGCCCGTGCTGGTGTGTGAAGGCAGCATGCGCTGGCCCTGGGCTCCGAGGGCTTGTACAGTCCACCCTTGTTACATGTGGGAGAGTCCTGAGATCCCTTTGTGTTGATAAATGAGTGAAACAGACCTGCCTGACCCATGGTGCCCTGTGAGGTTAATACCATTGCTGCAGGCGCCATGAGGTGTCCCCACGACTACACAGGTCCTTGCAGACCCGAGGAGCGCTCTGCAAGCCGGGCCCCCATGGTCTGCAGGTTGCTCCGGCTGCACCCCCTCTGCCCCGCTGCCCTTTGTCTGTCTTCCATCACGGCATTCCACTCTTGTACCTTCATTTCCAGAGAAAGGGGTTTTTGTGAATTTTCCTCCCATTCTTTCTTTTCTGTTCTTATTTTCACTCTCCTGGCTTCATTTATTTCTGTTTTTAGTACATTTTGTTTTCCTACCATGTCTGTCATATAGACCAAAACATCAGGACTGTGTGAAAAAGATAGCTGGACAGTACCGACCGTGGAGCGGAACTGGAAGGAGGAAGGCAGCTGCAGGTCTCAGCAGACGCTGTCCTGCTGCTGCCACAAGCAGATTCCAGAAGCCTCAAAGAGGCAAAACCCAGAGAACAGAGCCTGACAGGACAAGAGTTGCCTGTGTCTATGTAGTTGTAGGAATGAATGGCAGCAGATTATTCTTTGGAGCATATTTAGACAGTGGAAGCCTTAAACTAGCAGCTTTGTTTCTATGGTGTTTTAGGGGGGTTGGGGAATTGCTATAATTGTGTAAAGCAGTGTTTCCCAAAGTGTTCTGGAAATAGAGCTGCCGAGATGTGCGCTGCAAAAACAAGGGTTCCCTGGTCAGGTCCTTGGGGGAGTGCTGTCCCGGGTTGGCCTGCTGGGGAGGGTATTCACCACACAGAGGCTGAGCGGCCCTAGGTTGAGAGTCCTGTTGAACTCTGCACACGGCACTTAGGCTTTTTGACCGCAGACTTGTTTTCCACGTAGCACCCACAACATCCCTGGGAACTACTAGTGGTCAGTGGGACACATTTAGAAGTATGTTGTACATTTTGGTTCCCCCACCCCTTCTTCTAAAAAGTTAAGACTAGAACAATACTCGGCACAGTTCTGGCTCAGTGTCAGGCTTCTAGGCCTTTTGTCTGGGGCACTGCATCATGTTGGTCCAGACCCTGAGACAGCCAGTGTCGCTTTCTGCACAGCAGGACAGCCGTTCCCACCTGTACAGGGCCTGGGCCTCCCTCTCTTGTGATGCGTCTCCTTGAGCTCTGTCCTGGAGGTGCTGGGGTGGTCAGTGACAGCCACCCCCTCACCCTTCTGCGTTCTGGGCTGTCTTAGGTCTATGGTTGTTTTCCATCCGAGAGATCCACAGACCGTCCCGAGCACGCGCCTCTGGCCACAGGCCCTTCCTTCCTTGTGCCTCCTCCGTGTGCTAGGCTTTGACTCCATTTCTGTGGTGACACGTTGTGTATTCTCAACCCCTGCCTTTGGTTTTTTCAGGCCTAGCTCTGCTAGCCCCAGTGGGAAGCCCTCTGGATCAGCAGTTAACATGGGCTCTGTGCAGGGACACTACGTGCAACAGGTAGAAGATGGCTTTCCAGACCCTTCAGCCCTGGACACTTAGGCCTGTCTCCAAGCGCCAAAAGAGAAGGGACTGTCCAACCTATCTGAGCGCTCCTTGTCTAAAGAGAGCCATGCCCTAGCGGTTAGAGCACGGAACCAGGAGCTGGGCCGTCCGCGTCCCTCCTGGCGAAGGCATTTCTCCTCTTGACGGGCGTCTGGATCCTTCCTTGTCCTGCAGAGAAGGGAGGATGCCGATTCCTCTGAGGAGGTGGTGCTGGAAGGTGGACCAGCCCTGGCAGGTCGGGGCTGAGGTGCCCTGGGAGACTCGGTTAGGTTTGGGGGTCGGCTCTAGGAGCCCGGGTGCGCGCGCTGGTTCTGGTCAGTGGTGTGTCTCGTTTTTGTCTTGGCCGGGTGGGAGCACAGGTGAAGTTAATTTTACCCATATAATGAAAAGGACATCGCAGTGTATTTTCCTGCAGGCACTATTCTCTTCTCTGTTCTCTAAAACATGCTGGGGCTCAGAGCTTAGGCCCCTCAGACCTGGGTTTTTAATCAGTCACTGTGCCTGGCTGGTAGAGGTGGGCAGTGATTGCTCTCATTGGTTCCCTTGGGGGTCATGAGAGTTGTGTGGAATGAGCTTCTAAAGCTTTCTTCCAGAGTTCAGACCTGGTGGGGGGCAGATGCGCTGACTGCTCTGTGACTTCCCCACCCCACTCCCTGTGTAGAGCCACAGACCAGGGGAGCCCTGACTAGGAATGGGGCCCCAGGAAAAGGTTACAGAGTGGGAGTGGTAGGGGGTTTGGCTGAATCGCGGCCAGAGATCTGTGGGGCAAGTCTGCCTAGGGCCCCAGCAGACAGTCGGGGGCTCCGAGATGTGCAGGGGGCACTTGGATCTACTCGAAGGGGCTTTTTTGCCTGCGGGGCAGGAGGTGCACTGATTTGAAAAGGTTCTTCCAGTTGGCCTTGGGACCGGAACTGCTTCCGCCCTGGGATGTGCCATGGCGGAATTCTTTGTGGAGGACCCGGTGTCTTCCTGCCTCTCCGAATCACTGCACTCGGGGCTCATGGGAGGGAGCAGAGAGGGCACTCGCGCCACTTTCCTTACTAGGAGGAGGGTTTCTAAGTCTGGTCCTTCAACCAAGGGACGGACGACTTAAGGGAGCTTTCCCTGCATCTCAGGAGCAGGAAGGGAGTGGTGGGAACTGTGTGTCCAAACACGCTTCAGCGCCAGGGTCACTTTGTTTTCCCATTCATCTGTCCAAAGGCAAAACAACGAGTGGATGAGAAACCCAGCCTGGGAGCCGTGAAGCTGCAGGAGGCCCCCTCGGCTGCCTCCCAGATGAAGCGAACCGGAGCGATCAAGCCTCGGGCTGTCAAAGTGGAGGAGAGTAAGGCCTGATGGTGCCTGGCTGCCACCTCACGTCGCCCCACTGGGGATGGTGCCGCCATGCGGCCTTGACATAGCCGACACTCGGGAGCCTCACCAGATCCACCGTCCAAATGCCTGGCCCGGACTGAGAGACCTCCCTCCTCTCCACTCCCGAAAGCTCCGTTGTCAACCAGCTTGCACCCGTGGATATATGGCATTGACCCGCTTGCTTTGATATGAAACAAAAAAGCAAACGACACCTTCATCCCATCTGCTCCCACCGTGACCGTGGAGTGACGCCTCCCGTGCAGTGCAGATCCGCCCTCCCTGCCTCCTCCCTGTCCTGCCGCACAGCCAGGGCGCCTTCTCAGCAGTGCTTCCGGCCCAGCCGCCCAGTCCTAGGCACAGTGGTTTGGCAGCAGGGTCATTTTACTTTGAGGCTTTTTGTTTTAAAATGTAGCCAAGGTTTTTACAAAGGGGAAAGGAAAAGAAAACAGAAACGCAAGCTCCCTGTGTATAGCTGAACTTTTATATGTTTCTCGCCAGCCCCTCTCCTCCCTCCCATCTCTAGCCTCTGTCCTGTTTAATTTGTTACGTCACTGCAGTACCTTAAGAGGTGACTCTTAAGAATGCATCCCCTCCTGATTCCTCAGCTGGTTCATCTTTGAGGTTATTTGCAAAAAGAAATGGAGGTTCTCGAGGGCACCCGTCGCGAGCACTCTGGTGCCTGGCTCCCTGCCTGGGAAGCAATGGGCTGCGCAGAGCAGCAGGCAGGTGGCGGCGGGGGGGGGGGTCACAGTTGGGTTCCAGCTCCTGGCCTGATGAGCCCAGGGTGCCTACAGGCAGCCCATGAACTTGATGTCGGTTTTAGCATGAAGTTGATGACGGTTTTAGCATGAGAATCACACAGGGTCCCTGTCCTGAGCTGCTCTGAAGCCGGTGGATGTGCTGAGCACTAGAGACCAGTCATGGAGGTGGCTGCTGGTGGCTCCCAGGTTGGCCCAGATGGGATGAGCTGAGACACCACAGGCCCATCCCAGGCCCCATGCCCTCTGCTTCTGGGGCTCCACACCCTGCCCCTCGGGCGCTGTGTTTCACGCATTCTTTCCTTGAAGCCTTTTGTAACCTGTTGTTTTCCTTCCTTCCTCTTCTGGAGCCTGCTGCTTCCTCTGGACCCGTCTCACCTCCCACACAGCTCGTCGTGAACACCACTTGGTGACGGAGGAGTGGACCTGCGTGTGGTCCCCAAGTGAGGCCGCTGGGAGTTTGTCCTTTTCCTCCTTTGCTTCACTCCCAGCAGCAGACCCAGGTTGTCAGGACAGGAGGGCCTGAGCTAAGCAGCAGGCATCAGTCTCATTTGTCTTCAGATGACCGGGGCGGGGGGCAGGGTGAGGCTGGGTAGAGGGCTGACCAACGTCCAGAGGGCCTGTGCAGTCTCTGCAGGGGCAGCTTCTCCAGCCAGAGGCTTGTGTGAGCCATCGTGTGCTGGGCATGTCGTCGTTAAATAAGAAACAAGGAAATCACTCCAGATTCTGTCATTCCGAGGAAAGGGAAGGGGACAGTTCAAGTTTCTTAGCTGTTCTTAGGGGTCACTGAGCGTCTACCTGCTCTTCCAGAGGAGGCCAGCTCAGAACACTGTGAGGAGAGGGCCGGGGATGCACCGCCCAGAGGCTGCCCTCGGCGTCTCATGGGTGCAGGACAGCGCTTGGGCTTGGGCTCTGAGCTCTGTGTCTAGTGTAGAACATGGGGAAGGAGCATCTTAGGAACTGCTAAAGTAACTTCTTACTGCTCTCACAATTCTAAGGAAGTGGGAGAACGGCCTCCTACAAACAGTGCCCACCCCAGAGCTGCCTGGGAAGGAGCAGTTTTACTGAAGGCTGCTTTACTATTCACCTGCATCTTTCAGCAGCTCCCCTCCTGCCCTCACCTGGTCTTTTCCCTCTTCATCCATAGTCTTCACGCTGGAGTCCTTTCCCCAGGGGCTGTCCACCTGACAGTTCCGGGCATTCCCTACCTGAGCTGCGTGTCTGCTTTCCCTTCTCCCACTGCAAGCGGCTGCTTGTGGGGCCTGGGATGAGCCCTCTTTGTCCCTATCCGCCCCCCTTGCCAAGCCATTCCTGGGTGAGTCCAGGCCTGGGGGAGCCACACATTCATCTCCACCTGGACACTTGAGCCACATGGCGAGACCCCTCCCACCTGACGCGGTGGTGCGTATGATTTGTCGAAAGAAAAAGCCTCCGGATGCTGTTAAAAAGATACACCCTTCAGGTGAACCTGGCATCAGACCCACAGTACTTGCTGTTTGAGAAAAAATAAAAACAAAAAGGTCACCTGTTCTCCAGCCCTTTTCTCTTACCCGGTATTTCCTTCCTTCCTTCTCCCCGACCCCAAATAAAAAAACAAAAAACACTAGAATTTATTTATATGTATTGATGTTGTAGGTCTAGATGAAAAAAAAGAAGTAAATGTTTCACTGCTCTATTTATATATAATGTCTGAATTAATTCTGTGCAGGAAAGGCCAGGAAATTGCATGTGAAGTTCGGTGCAGTCACCACCTCTGTGTGACCTGAGCTGCAGTCTCTTCGCTGAGATGCAGATTTTAAATGAGACTGGGGGCTGAGGGCAGGCCTCAGGCCTCCCAGCGCCCCAACCCCTCCTTGGTCTGATTAAATGCAGTTCTTAGTGCAGAGACGTTTTAAGGTGCAATATATCTCTTCCTTTCACGTGGTTTTAGAGCCAAGCTCAAGGTAGTAGGACGTAGGGTCTTATTTTGTTTTCAAACCCCCATCTTCAGAGCGCAGATACATGCAGAGGCTTCTGCCAGGATACCACGGGGCCTTGGTGGGAACAGGTGGAGACCAGCGCTTGCCTTTTCTGCTGCTGAGTGGGGGGTCAGAACCCACTCACTTTTGCCTGCTCAAGTTGCCCTCTTCCCGATGCTGACAGCTCTGCCTTTGCCATCGGGGGTGCGGCCCATTGCTCAGCAACCAGTGGCCTTGCGGTGGTATTTGTCCACTGTCCGCTAGAGTGGAATGAAGTCCCGAGTGTGGGTGTGCATCTGAAATGCTCATCCACCCACTGGGGACTTCAATGCCAGCTGCATTCGGTTTGGTTTTCTTCACTGTTGGCTTCTCCCCCCCGTTTTTTTTTTTTTTTAAACATTTGTATTGTTTTCAAACTTGGATTTCATAGATACTCTGGCTCTAGGTTCCTTAAGGGGAAAAACAAAGGATGACTTTATTTCACATTCAAGAAAATCAGTTCGGTTCCAAAGCTGTGGTCCTTCCAGCCACTTCTAGGGACACTGGGGTACCTTGTTAAACATTGACATCAGTGCTCTCCAGCCGAGCTGTCGCCCTCCTATCTTAATGGATCTGCCTTCCGGATGGTCAGTGACGCCTTCTGGAAGCTGAGCGCACCCAGGTGCACGGCCGTGCTGTGGCCTGGCCTGCTGCGGCAGCATGGCAGCTCTGGTGGAGCCTGCTCCCTTGCCATTTGGTTCCCCTCTGCCAAGTCACTGCAGGCTGCCCCTCAAATCTTCATTCGTCCCTTTTCACTTCCTGCAGAGCAAGCCTAGGTAAGAGGGTCTGCTGGAAATGGCCTTTGAAGACCAAGGATACCAGAGTGTGTGTGCTCTGTCATATTCTGTGATGAATGGGAAACAGGCTTCCAGAAAGCCAGCTGTCTTATGAAATGTGACGGACCGAAGCAGGAAGTCACCCAGGACAGGAGTGGCTTGGTGTTGGAGATGGACGCTGTTGCCCCGCCACGCTCCACCAGGGCCACCAGTGTGTATCTGGCTGGTGGTCTTCGGGCACCTGCTCTTCACTGTCTCTACCCCAGTTGGTGGCCTCCAGGATGGTAGTGGCACCCCCAGAGCCCCATCTTCAGCATGTTCTGGAGCCTTGGAGTGGAAATTCCTGCTAAGGCTCTGTGCGGACGCCTTTCTCCCATGATCTAAAGGGGACACTGTACTCTTAAGCTTTTGACCTCATGCCTTGTGTAGTAAAAAAGGATTTGGGGGTTTTTGTTTGGTTCCTGAGAGGGCTGTGTTTTGTTTTGTTTCCTTTTGTTTATGTTTTGGCCTTTCCTCTTTGTCTTTCCATGTAGACCAGATATTTGAAAGGGCAGACGATGGCTAGAGGTGTAAGTGCAGCTTGTTTAGACGTTATTTCGGGAAACTTACCTTGGATGGGAAATGGAATCGTGGATTCACCAGGCCGGTGCTGGCACACTCAAACCCTCGCCCTTTCCCTCCGGTTCAGTACCTATTGTTTCTCCTTTCAAATATGTGATTGTACTAGCTCTTTCCATATGAAAGAATTCTCCTTATTTAAATAAAAAAAAGTTAAAAAAGATAAAGCTGAACATGCTTTCTCAGGTTGTACATCCCTCTTTTCTTGGTAATTTGACCAGAGAGAACCACAGATCAAAGAGTTCTAATTTTACAGAGTTCACATGGAAATTAGGAGTGGCACGGCCGAAATGCCTTAACAGAAGCTGTATGGGTAGAGAAGGGATTGAAACCCGTGGTTAAGAAGCATCTTCCAAATGCTGCAGCATCAAGCACTCTCCACTCTCTTCCCACGGATGGCATCTGGCTGTGTGCGGAGCCTGCCTGCGGCCCCATCACTTGCCATGAGAAATAAGCTGGTCAGAGGAGGTAAGCATTTGATGCGGTGTGTGGTGGTGTCACTTCCAGCAGTGCTTTTGCAGGAAGTGGAGGAGGATTACGCTGTGCTTTGGGGTGGGGAAGGAGCAAGCCAAGCCAGGCCTGCGGCAGCGAAGACTAAAAGGTAAGAATGAGTTGAGGCAGCAGTTCTCGGTTTTGCCATTGCCTCACTGTGTGACCTGGGGAAAGAGTCAGTCTCCTTAATCATAAAATGCAGACTGTAATGGTATCGACCTCACGGGGTAGTGCAGATTCAAAGTCACCAGTAGCTTTTAGCTTAGTGCCTAGAACCAGCTAAGAAAACTTACAAATTACCTCCAAGAAATTAAACGCTGTTTCCGTGAGAAACACCAATCCCTCAACTTCCTTCTTAGCCTTTTGACTATGGAAGAGAGTTGGGGACCTGGGCACAGGCATCTCGGCTTTAACCAGCCACACTCACTGCCCTGATTCACTGCTCCCTAGGGACAGGTGGCTCAGAAAATCTCAAAGGGAGATGGGCCCTGAAGGAAGCTAGTCCTGAGGTTGGGGACTTGCAAGATGGAGGCTCTCAGTCCTGAGGCACCACCACTGTTAGCATGGCATGAACCAAAGCTCAACAGGCCAGCCCCACTCCCTCCTGGGGCCCAGGGAACCTTCCCTGCCCACTGTAAACACAGTTTGCCTGCAGCCTCTGGCCACAAACACAGGTGAGCCCCAGCTCCTTCCCTCTCTGTGGGATCTTGGGTGAGTCACATAACCCCTCAAGGGTAAGCCATAAAGAAGTAACCACTAAATTCTCAACTGGTGTCATCTAATGCTATGTTGACCAACATGGAAAAAAAATCTTGCAGACAGCCAAGAACTGTAATTAAGGTTATTAAACCTGCAGTGTGTCCTTTTGGTCTGCATAGATTAACATACAGATAGACCAGGAGATCAAGCAGCAGCGAGGCTGAGAAGAGTGATCCATCAGCCTGGTTGCGTTGCTGTCAGTTACCCTGCTCTGGGTGCCGACTGTTCCAGGGAAAACATGGGAAGGGGTGCATTCACCCAACCAAAAGTACCATGTCTGCCCCAAAGCAGGCCTTTGGGAAGGCTCTTGACCCTGAGCACAGGGGGCTGGAGAGGCTGATGGAGAAGGAGGAGGAGCCCTGGGAAGGGAGGAAGAAGCCTCCAGTCTTCTGCCACGGAGTTGAGGGGAGGTGCCCCCACTGGAGTCTCTGATGGTCTTGCAGCCCCCACTCATGTCCGGGGGTTTTTTTTTTTTGGTTTTGTTTTTTGTTTTGAGACAGGGTCTCACTCTGTAGTCCAGGCTGGAGTGCAGTGGTGAGACCAAGGCTCACTGCAGCCTCGGCCTCCCTGCCCCAAGCGATCTCCTGCCTCAGCCTCCCTTGTAGCTGGGACTGCAGGCGGACGCCAACAGGCCCGGCTAATTTTTGCAATTTTTTTATGGAAACGTGGTCTCCCTATGTTGCCCAGGCTCTTCTGGAACTCACGCGGGCTCACGCGATCCTCCCACCTCGGCCACCCAAAGTGCTGGGGTTACAGGTGTGAGCCACCGCCCCCGGCCCTAGGTGCTTTTTAAATGCACTTACTCTCAGCCATTTCACTAGATGTATGTGCAAGCAGATTCGTGGCATCGATGTTTTTTTGGCAAGAAAACTAGGAGCGCCCATGGGCGTGGGAGCACGCACCTGTGGTCTCAGCTGCTTTGGAGGCCAAGGAGGGAGGATCGCTTGGGGCAGAGAGGTTGGGGCAGAGAGGTCGAGGCTGCAGCAAGCCGTGGTCCTGCCACTGTACTCCAGCCTGGGCGACAGAGCGAGACCCCGTCGCAAAAAATTAAGGCCAGACGCGGTGGCTCACGCCTGTAATCCCAGCACTTTGGGAGGCCCAGTCGAGCAGATCACTTCAGGTCGGGAGTTCGAGACCAGCCTGGCCAACATGGCGAAACCCCGTCTCTACTAAAAATACAAAAATTAACCGGGCGTGGTGGCGGGCGCCTTTAATCTCAGCTACTCGAGAGGCTGAGGCAGGAGAATCGCTTGAACCCGGGAAGCGGAGGTTTTGGTGAGCCGAGATCGCGCCATTGCACTCCAGCCTGGGCAACAAGAGCGAAACTCCGTCTCAAAAAAAAAAAGAGAAAAGAACTAGGAGCAAACTGGCGCGCCGGCAGAACGCCGTTGTGCAGACGCAGATTTAAGATCGCGCCAGATGGAATGAAAAAGCAAGGAGCAGAAGATGGGTGGGAGCCCACTGCGCTTTTAAAAAGCTGCATGTCTGCTTAGAGTACACAGAAATCCTGGCACACAAAGCAGTAGCACCCGAGGGAGGCGAACTCCTGCGTTTCACACCTGCTTCTCGCCCGCTGCGCACGCGCGTCACCCTCGCCCAGTGCGCACGCGCGTTGCTACCCGCCGGACCCCGCAGGCGCGGTGAATCGAACGTCGAGCACGGCGGCGGGCGGTGCGGAGTGCTGCGCGGCCTCACCGCCAACCGTCGGCCCAGTAGGACGGTTCCGAGGCGTTGCCCGGCGCCAGGAGCGGCTCTGCCTGGACTCGGAGAAACGCGGGTACGTTTGGGGACACCGGGGACGACAGCCCAGCCCGGACTCGGGAGAATCAGTGCGGGACGAGGGCGTCCAAGTCTTGCCGGAGCCGGGGGCGGGGTTCCGGCCCGGGCAGGTGCGGCGTCTGGCCGACAGAGCCCCGAAGAAAGAATCCGCGGCGCGTGCAGCCCTAGGGAGGAAGCGCGAGCTGCGGGTGCAGCCTCAGGGTGAGGACGGAGCTGGGGCCGACGCAGCCTCGGGAGTTGGTGGCCGGGACAGGTGCGGCCTGTGGGGAAGAAGGGCCTACCAGGAGAGGAGGTATTCCCAGGACAGGTGGGACCTTTTGGGAGGAAGGCGCTCAAGGCAGGTGCAGCTTAGGGAGGGAAAGGCGCGTCCAGGGTAGATGGGGCCTGAGGATGCCAGCGGGGCGCCAGCGGCCAGAAGCGGCTTTGGTGTGAGACAGGATGCCCCAGGGCTGATGCAGCCTCAAGAGAAGCGGCGCTCAAGGGAAGATGAAGCCTGGAGGAGAACGTGGAGGCGCAGGGTGCAAATGCACCCTTCAGGCGAGAAAGGGAGCACCTGGGGATGATGTGCCGCTGGAGGAGAAGGCAGGGAGGCACTGGGGGCTGATGCATCCTTGAGGAGAGATAAGGAGGCCTCGAGGCTCGGCCAGGTTGGGGTCCCTGGGCCGAGCAGCTGAGATGGCACCCAGGGGCTGCCCAGGGTCAGAGAGCTGTGGTGTGGGCTCCTGGTCGTCGGGGAGGGAGGGGAGAAACCCTGGCATTCCTTAGCGGTGTTCTCGCTCCCAAGACGTGCTCAGCAGGTTTTATGGAATGAGTTGTTGACAGGAGTGAATGTCCAGTCCTGAGATCCCCTGAATTCCCGCCCGAGTTCACTGCTAGTGCCCCTCACCCCACATGTCTACCTGAACCAAGGCTCCAGGAACTGAGGCCTTTCTTAGCAGCCCGGCTGTGCTGTGGTTCTCTCAGCGCGCGTCTGGGAGCCAGGTGGCTGGGGATTCCTTTTGCAGCTTCTCGTGAGCCCTCATTGACCACGGCTTCTCCCTTCTTTTCTAGGGCATCTGCCTGAGCCCACTTTTCTACAAGATGTGGGGATTTTTGAAGCGCCCTATAGTGGTGACGGCCGACATCAACTTGAGCCTCGTGGCCCTGACTGGGATGGGGTTACTGAGCCGGCTGTGGCGACTCACGTACCCGCGGGCTGTGGTGTAAGCTAAGTGACTCCATTCCCAGGGTGAATCTGGAATTGTACTTTGTGATAGGGGGAGTCTTACTGAAGAGCATAAATGAGAGAGTGAAATCCTGGCTTTTTGGTGATAGATGTTTTTGGCAGTGAGACGAGAGACCAGTCTGTCCCCAGGACAGCCCCAGCAGAGTACACCTTTTAGGTCTTGCTTTCTGGGTCTGTAGCAGGTGAAATTTGGCCCATTAAATGGGTGCAGTAGAGGAAAATCTGGTTGCCAACCTTGGGTAACAGTTTTAAAGTCTGGGCGGCAGAGGATTGATGGATTTGGAAGTGAGTCCTTACTGTTGAGAGCACTCAGAATGTGTTTTTGTCATAATGGGAAGTGATTGCTGTTATTATTGAAGGGCTCTTTATTAACTGATTAATGCATTTTTTTTTTTTTTTTTTTTTTTTTTTTTTTTTTTTTTTTGAGACGGAGTCTCACTCTGTCGCCCAGGCTGGAGTGCAGTGGCGCGATCTCGGCTCACTGCAAGCTCCGCCTCCCGGGTTCATACCGTTCTCCTGCCTCAGCCTCTTGAGTAGCTGGGACTACAAGCGCCTGCCACCACTCCGGGCTAAGTTTTTGTATTTTTAATAGAGACAGGGTTTCACTGTATTAGCCAGGATGGTCTCAACCTCCTGACCTTGTGATCCGCCCGCCTCGGCCTCCCAGAGTGCTGGGATTACAGGCATGAGCCACCGTGCCCAGCCGTTTTTTGTTCTTGTTTTTGTTTTTGAGATGGAGTCTTGCTTTGTCGCCCAGGTTGGAGTGCAGTGGGGCCATCTCAGCTCACTGCAGCCTCTGCCTCCTGGGTTCAAGTAATTCTCTGCTTCATCCTCCTGAGTAGCTGGGATTTATAGGTGTCCGCCACCACGGCTGGCTAATTTTTGTATTTTTAGTAGAGACGGGGT